GGAGGAACTATACGAAATGGAATGGAACAGAACGCTGCATGCAGGAATGGGCACCATGGCCTAAATATATATTGCGTTGGATAGCTAGCAACAATTAGGAAGATTCCGTCATCTGGCATGTGGAACGAGACTTCACCCGGCAAGACGGGGCGACACACTCTTCTTACTTCTACTTTTTTTTCTTTCATCTTCCCCCTCCAACCCTACTCTGGATTGTTTTTTTGTTTTTGTTTTTTTTCTCCTCTTCTTCTTATCCTCAAACCCAGAACCCAAGTGACCCAACATCCACCAAACACCTTCCCCCATCTCTTTGAACGTCCTCTACCCCTTGCCCTACTAATCTTTTCAGAACGGTCATAGGGATATGGCATTAAAAGGGAACTTAGCATTAACCGTTACGTTAGCCTAGAGTGACGTGGACCGCATTTATTCCTGATCACCATAGCGAAAAAACTCCCATTCACGATTACCTCGATACGCTACCCTTACTCTAGCATTCTCAGGGTTCTCTCTTTTTCCCAGTGCCAAATTCACTTTCATTAGAAATCTCAGTTTGCCTTAAGGACAGTTCTTGATTCACGCAGACACTACCGCATATGTATCATTGTCGCCTACCCATGTCTTAACACAAGACATTTTTTTTAACTAATATTTACCTAGAGTGTTTAAACTACTTGTAATCACATAAATGCATACTACGGATCTTGTACAACTGCAGAAAAGTTACAAGTACTGCTCTATACACATTGCTTATAATGTACACAATACTTTGTTATTTAGAACACATAGAAAACGCCAAATAAAGATTGTTGGAAGACATGACTGTACCATGACCATCCTTTCAGGCAGTCAGTATATCTGCTGATACCTGACATCACCAGCATGTGTGACCTCACTGGCACCACTAATATCAATTGGATCTGTGACATCACCAGCATATGTGACATCAGCAAATTTCACCTGAACATGAATTGTGATGTTATATGCTGGTTTGAATAACTTGTGTTATTCGTCTAAAACACATTAGATGTCACCATTAAGGTATTTGGGCATTTTTAGAGATAAACCATTTGGAAAGTTACTCTAAGTGCATTGAATCATTTGGAAAGCTTATGAAATCAAGGCCTGTATCCCTAAGTATTACATGTAAATTGTAAGCTATGGGAGAGCAGTTGTCTTGGAAATACATGATGTTTGGTTTATTCCTGGTGTTTATTGCATGAGAAGATGTTTTGTGTGGCCTTGTCAGTGGCATGGTCCATGGCTAGGCTGCCTCGCACCATAGTATGTAACGAAAAGCATAATGTGTCTTTATTCTTTCTCTTTTCTTTTTCTTCCTGATCGAGAAATTAAAAAAACAGAAAATATAGTTATTTTACTGCACAAATGTAAATTTCCATGAGCAAGAAAGAGATTCCTTACTGAAAGTCTACTCAAAATATAATAATTTACAATCGTTCAATCAATTCCTTTTTTTTTTTTTTTTTTAAACTCTTTATTTTTGGACAATCATAGGCCACAGTACATTCATTGCTGAAATACATGGATTCACATGACAATGCAGTAAACAGAGGAGTATAAATGTGTCAGTATGCTATCAGTTCACATTCGATAAGGGTCTGATTACCGGATTTAGGGTTGATCAGTATCAGCCACGTCAGAAGCAACCCATGACGATGTAGTCATTATTACTAGCCCACAAACAATCACTCGCTTCACTGCCCCTCCCCACTCAAACTGGGTTCCCACAGTTTCCCAAGTCTGCCCAGGAAGCCCATACTTTCTCAAAGGACTTCAGTTGTTTCATTTTCAATCAGATGTTAACTTTCTTTACAAGTTTTGATATCCTGCTCTGTAAATTGAACTTTAATCAAAGACAAGCAGTTCCTGCAGGGTCAAGCAAGCTATTTACAGAGCAGGTGATAGGAAATTCTAAATTAAACAGACTGTGTAATAAAGGAAGTTTAAACATTAGATCTCACATTTTACAGAATGTGTTTAGACACGCAGGGACTAGGTCAATATACACAAAGTTATTTAACTCCTAAATAACAGAGAATTGAGCAGTGAAACTGCAGGGACATGGTCTATACACCAATACTTAATTAAACTAAATTTGTTTTGGTGCTAATAATGTGCCTTTAATGCAGTATGGTTAGAGCAGTTGTAATGTTCACCCGCCTACCTCAAATCCTCATAGATTGTACATAGCTTCTAAGCTCATTTGAGCAAAGCCTTCCATAATGTTAAAGCTCTAATGAATATGTTGGCGCTATATAAATGCTGAAAATATAAATAATATTCTTAAAGATGAACTGCAATGGTGCATTCTAAAAGTTTGTTTTACGTTGTATGTGTGTGTCTGTGTGTGTGTGTTTGTAGTCCATCTAATTCCAGTTGTAACACAAAGATGAACTGCTAAGGGAATGCTTAAAACAACAACAGATGGAGAATGCAGAAAAGGAGGCCGTTCCTTGACAAGATAAACCTCTTCATGGGGTGTACCACCAGCAGATAGTGGATGTAGCTCTCAATAAAAAATCCTACCAGTGGTTGTAAAAGGCAGGACTGAAAGACAACACTGAGGAACTAATCCTAGCAGCCCAAGAATGGGCACTCAGCACCAGATCAATAGAAGAGGAGGTCTATCACACCAGGCAAGACGCAAGGTGCAGACTGTGTAAAGAGGCACATGAGACAATCTAGCACATAGGGATAGCACACACTGGGATAGCACACACTGAGAGGTACAACCAAGTTGCTGGAATTGTGTACCGAACATCTGCATTGACAATAGGCTGGACCTGCCTAAGTCCAGATGGAAGATACCACAAAGGGTAGAATGACTGAGGGACTTTCAGATCCAGACAGACAAGGAAGTACTGGCCAACCAACCGGACATTGTGGTAATAGACTAGAAACAGAAGACTGCAGTGGTGGGGGATGTGGCAAGTGACTATAACATAAGGAAGAATGAGAAGCTGGACAAATAATAAGGACTGAAAGAGGAGCTAGAAAGGATGTGGAAAGTGAAGGCAGTAGTAGTCCCAGTTGTGATAGGAGCACTCGGGGCTGGGACTCCCAAGTTGGGGGAGTGGCTTCAACAGATTCCAGGTGGGACATCTGAGATTGCTGTCCAGAAGAGTGCAGTTATAGGATACTGCACAGAACCCTCAAACTCCCAGGCCTCTGGTGGACGACCGAGAATGCACAAAAATATATATACCACCCAAGAGGGGTGAGAAATATATATAAAAATATATAATAGCATATTCTAACCCAATCTAGTATCCAATGCAAATTTCAATGGCCACAATTTCTCATGCACAGCCCATGGACTTGCATGCATAATGGGGAATAACATGAATAGTGTTTCAGAAAATTCCAAATAGCACACTAATTCTGTTATCACTGGGACTACAGGATTTAAATGTTAACAATAAAAGTAAATCTAGTTGAAGGTGTTATATTTAAGAGTGCACTCAGGCTAATCTTTTCTTCTATGCCCCCCTGCCCTGTTTTTTTGTCCCAGATTTATGGAACATTTTTTTAAGATCTCCACATTTTACTACCAGAAAACTGTGACTATGGGACGGTGAGATTATATCCATCCAGTACGGCAATAAATTGCTGTCTGATTGTTCTATTTTTTTTTAGCACAAACGTGATCCTTGTGGACATGACTTTGTGCTTTAAGAATGAGTGCCAAATGAGGTGTGATATTATATATGAACAAGGGATTCGACTTGGACAGTGAAGCGTATAAAGTGATGGAGAGAGCAGAGAGCTGCTGATAGACATTGTGTTTGCTAGATGTTATCACTTTTACAATGCAAGCCCGAATTTCCTGCTTTAAATCCATTCTTGGCAAATCTGCTGTGTAGAAAACTGATATAAATAAATGCCATATTTCACTTATTATACGGCTGTATCTTACTCTTTGGTGCATGTCTGTATTCTTTTTGGTGCCGGAGGGCCCACACCACGTTAACTGGACACATATTTCAGCAGAATATTTAATAATCCTAAAAATACCTGCTGGATTCTAGAGAGATATAGAATGCATAAAACTGGGTTATTCTTAAAGAGACAGTTCGGGCTGTAGCCCACATTTACATGTTATTGTTTTTTCGCCTAAATAACCTTAATTGTTCTTCTTCTATCTCAACTTGCCCATTCTAAAGTGCATCTTTCTTACTGGTTTCTGTACATGTAAACAGATCCCTCTCTGTCGCTCCACCTAACCTGCAATGTCCAGTAACGCAGTTTGATCGGAAAATATAGGAAACCTTTCTAGGAGTGGCAGTTCAGGCAGCAGCTTTTAGAAGTAGAAAACTGATAGTTGAACTGCAAATCCCAGAAACTCCTACTCATAACAAAAGTTAATGCAGAGAGTCCAGTTTCCTGCTAACCAGGCCCTAGTGCTGCACGGTAGCCATTTCAGTGATCAGTTATACAGGCCCGAATGGTTCAAAATCCATGGACTAGAATTCGGGGCTTCTCTTTGGCCAGGCTACTTTCTGGTAAGGGCAGAACTAAAGGTTGGTGACATAATGTAGTAGGAACTGTAAGAGTGAGTGTCTTTATATTGTCTAATTTTGGATTGTTGTTTTTTTTTTAACATTTGTTTTCATCCGTTATCTATATAACCCATTAATATAAGGGGTCAGTTACAGCCTAAATAAAGCCTTTTTCAATCCAAACCAGAAGCCCCAGCCTTTATCACCGCTCTCTGCAATACCTAATATACTGGTTTGTCTCTGCCACTCTTTACCTAGCGTGTTTAGCGCTAAAATAGGATTTCTAATATGCATGTAACACAAACTGGCAAATGACTTTGTGCATCTGGCTTCCTAATGATTTGCAGGACATGTGATCATCTCAGCCTACGTCAGATGATAAACTAAACAGTAAAGCTCAGATCTCTCATGGGCATGGAGGATGCTGACATCCATTATTCTCAGCTTCTACACGTCCGTCTTCTGCAGTGAGGAGCTCACAGACCTGTATTAAAGGGTTGTATGTCTATAAAGACCTCGAGCCATGGACTTATGTGCATCTGGGTTTCAGGACATCCATTTAGTAGCTTTTGGGTTTGTTTGTATTTAGCATAAATCAGACTCACTGTCTGTCCTAATGCAGTAATGCTACACAGTTTTTTTGTTATTTTTGTGTGTTGTGAACCAAACAAGCATTACCCAATGTGCTATAATCAAGATAAAATTAATGTTTTCCTTACTTGGAGTTGGTCCATTTATCTTGACAATACATTTTTTTTTTTGTATTTTTTTAAAGGCTTTGCTTCCTTCCTGATTGATTCAGACACGTCTAATTACATCTCATTTATAAAGAGCACAAGTAGTTAATGTCAGGCCAATAGCCCACAACATGGGCCATAAATTTCATTATTGCCCATAAATCATCAAAATGCGCACGGAGTGAGAAAATGAGACAAGCCTCTGATAAAAAGCACTTGGTATGTCAAAGATGAGAATTCAGCTAGATTTCCCTCTCCAGTCTTTCTCTCCCACGTTTTAGGTTTCATTCCTCCTTTCTGGGAACATCAGGAGGCTGAGAATCCTCTGGGTTTTCTTCCTAATATAAAACACCTGTGTGCAATGCATATAATTCTGTCTTTTGTTCCTGACACAGGGCACGCATTCACAGTGAGACAGCAAATGAGGATCACCTCAATCTCACATAATGGACTTCTCAATATGTTCTGTCCTCAATGTCTGCTTCACTGCTGTCAGTCCCACGGTTTAAAGTCTGTCAGCTAATAGGGGTGGTGGGCCACTAGGCAAGTGACGCACAATAGTCGTTTTGGGCAGAGACTGTCCATGCGCCTTTAACAAGCAATACAATTATTAGGATTTACTTTTATATAGCGCCAACGTATTTCGCAGAGCTTTACAATGACATAGTTGAGATATGTAACACAAGTAATTGACAGACAAAATAACACTGACTGTAGTATAGTTACAGTGTAGGGAATGGAACACATTAGTATATGTGTGTGTATTTATAGAGAGAGTACATAACAGTGAACCATGTATTAAGTGATATATTGCCATCCAGGGGTTCTTGGGATAATGTTTAGTGGTAATGTGTTACAGTAATGTAGAGGTTAATGTGTGTAGTGTGTTAGGATAGCCTATGGCAGGGGTTGTCAACCTTTGTGGACTACCTCTCCCATGATGCTTTGACAGCAATATGGTTGAAAGATAATTCTGGGAGATTCAGATCACAATATCTGGAGTGCCGAAGGTCGCCTACGTCTGGTGTAGGGCTTTAAATAGGGGACATATTGTAAAGATATCACTGGAACATGCATGCCCCTCTGTTGTCTAAGATTCCTGGGAGTTACAGTCCCAGGGGGGCGCTCTTTTCGCTGCCGCAAGTGCAGTTCAGGAGTGGAACTTTGATCCATGCATTATTACTCATTCATTACAGGAAATAATTTCACAGCTTATGTCACCACCCATGCTGCAGGAGATTTCTAAACATGAAGTAATGGGCAGATCATTGAAAATAATGTATTATCTACAGCCAACAACATTGATATGTCACACACCATTCTTTATCTAACAGTACTTGTGCAACATGCCTTAAAACATTCTATAGTGTTATATATGACACCCAGAATAATCTAAACGTACCTTTCCTGGTTAAATACTATGTTATTATTATAATATAGTTCTGTGATAGTTATGATTACTGTGTATTAAAATCTAGAGCTAGGTGGCGCTGTACGAGTTTCTCATGGTTTTTCCTTTAGCCACGTCTAGTAAAAGCTTTTAATTTGCAGTGTGAATAGTGACCAGTACAATATGTTTGTTGCGATCTATTAAGTGTGCGCACAGACAATTCAATAAAACTGCTTCTGCAGGAAACAATGAATCCGTTGTATTTAGAGTCTTCACTCTGCATTCCCAATGGATTCAGCAATTCCTTTGCACTATTGCCTTTTTATCTTCCAAACCTAGACATTGCTCGCTAAGACGGAATACCATAATATAGGCAAAGCTGCAAACTGTGCATAAAAATGGGTGGTGAAGCAAAACTAAAACGTCTCTAGTAATTATAACATTGCCTAAACATTGAAAATGACCTATAATTTGTGTTTTCCTTCATGCGATGCTCCATTTTATTTTAAAATGTATATAAAGCTTTGTGCAAGTGGCATCACAATCCAGGCACAGCGTTTCTCCCACAAACTATATTTAGTGGCAGAAAAGGGCAACATTTATAAGGTAGCCCATGGAGCAACGCAGTATGGGGAGTGGGCCTTGACAGAGCCAGGGAGTGGGCATGGGCTTATGTTTGTGGGAAGGGTTTTGGGAGTGATGTTTTGGGGGGTGGAGAGTAGGGATATATAGAGCGGCCATATTAGAATAGGGGCCATTTTAACTGGAGCCTCTCTTACCTGTAGATTGTTGCAGGCCAGAGAGGTTCCCCCCTTTTTTCTTTGTTTCCCTGCAGGTCGATGGCGGCGTTGGAGGAGCTTCTGGAGGGAGTGCGGGCGGCCGTGAGGGACCGTGGCCTCGAATGGCTACATCAGCAGCTGGGGGCCGCCGGGCCTTCCGCATCGGTACCGGCGCGACGACCGGCCAGGAGGACGAGGCCGCCGCAGCGGCTGAGCCCGGGTGCTGGGCCCGCGGCGAGACGCCGTCGAAGCCCTTCTGAGGGAGGAGGAACGTCCGCGGGGGCAGGAGAGGTCCCGGTCGTGGAGCCGGGAAGGAGCACGGCTCGGGCCGGCAGGCGCGGCTGCGGTCTGGCGAGGACGGCCGTAAAGCACCCGGCGGCTGGACGACGCACGCCGCGTGAGTCGGCGGCAGGCAGGGGAGATGGAGTGGTGGCTGCCAATTCGGCGGCCGGGTCGGCGGCCAGGACGGAGGACGGTCACGTGGGCGGGATCACAGAGCTGGAACGTCCCGGTGAGTCAGCCACCAGTGGCACCGCTGTGGGGCAGGAGATTGTGGTTATGGGGAGTGTGGAGACAAGAGCAGCCCCCCATGGGTCTGGGGGAGGCTGGGGCGGCGAGGTCAGCGCAGGGACGGCCCAGGCAGGGGTCAGGAGAGAGGATGTCGGTGGTGGTTTTAGTGCGCAGGAGACGGCTGGATCAGGGCGCACGGCGATCAGCCAGGGACAGGATTCTTTAACGGGAAGGACGGCTAGAGGGAAGCCAGGCGCAACAGCAGTGGGAGACAGACGTAGACCCACCCTGGAGGGAGGTGACAGGGGAGGTGGCAGCAGGCGGGAGGGTCCTTCTGGCTGCTCCCAGGGTCAGCATATGGACGGAGAGGACGCAAGGAGTGAGAGGAGAACGGAACGGCGCAGCATGAGCGCCAGGCGCAGCAGCACGAGGAGCAGAGCAGGGAGTCGAGGAAGCGGGGAGAGGTCACCAGTGCGGAGCAGATGCAGCGCAGCTAGGTCCTGTTGCAGGGAAGGCTGTGGGAGGTCCCTGTCTAGGGATAGAAGGCAGAGGAGTCGACGTAGCACGTCTGATTCACCAGACAGGAGAGTACAGGTTCACTCAAGGGGAGCGGATTACAGGGGGAGTCGTTTTGCAAGGCAGCTGGAACGTGGGGAGGAAGGGCGGGTAGACCCTACGCTGAACAGACTACCCAGGTTTTCTTCTCCCTGCAGGTCACGGAGCAATACCCCTACGGTCTCGAGGCGGGACCAGGCGGATGGGAGTCGGCGACAACACGACACTCCGGCTCCCGGAATGGTGGGTGGAAGGACGACGCCCCTGCGGTCAGCTGCGGCCAGGGGCTTGAGCGGTGAGTCAACACATGCACGACACTCTGGACAGTTGTTGAATGATTTGAAAGTATTTTTAGACGCTTGGTCGGACAAGGGCGGGTCCCCCTCGGAATTCGGGCGGGTATGGTCACAGGAAGGTAGTCGGGACGCGGCGGTGGAGCACGCGGGGGCGGTACCGGCGGGGACACATGGAGGCGAGGCCGGCGACGCGACGGGGTCGGCGGGGTTGACCGATGGTGGGGGGAACCCACGGAAGGGGGTAGCGATGTCCCGGATGCGGCGCGGCAAAACGTGCACGTGTCCTTTGCGGGCCCCCTGGGGTGCCACTTAAAAACAGAAGTAAAGGATAAGATTTGGAAAGGTGAGTTCGTGGAAATCTTTTCCCTTCTTCCCCTCGAGGAATTCTTGGACTTGAAAGAGGAGGATAAAAAGGACGCCAAGAAAGAGGAGGAGGAAAAAAGGCAGAGGTATCGCAAGATACCGAAAACTTTTGGGAATTGGCTACGGGCTTTCTGTATTCTGGCTAGCGTGATAGGGGAAAAGAACCCGGGGCGTTGCTCGGAACTTTTTTGCTACTTGGATGGGATAGGCGATGCATATCGAACATACGGGGGATTGGCGTGGTGGAGGTATGACGAGCAATTTCGACAACGGCTAGCGGTGAACACGAGCATGCGGTGGGATCAAATGGATCTGCCATTATGGATGCGCCTTATGATGGCTCAAAAGGCGGCGCCCTTTCTTGGGACAGCCGGCACGGCCGCAGGGGGTGCTGTGTCGGCTGGGCAAAAGAAAGGCTTCTGCTGGATGTACAACGAGGGACACTGCAAGTGGGGGAATTCCTGCAGGTTCAGACACGAATGTTCCGGCTGCGGGGGGGCGCATGGCGCCAGCCGGTGCTTCAAGAAGGGTAAGCTTGGAGGGGGAGGGGGGTCCGGAGGGGGAGGGGGGTCCGGAGGGGCAGCGCCCCCTGCTGTTACCGCTGGGGGCGTCCCCAGTGAAAGTAGACGTGATGTTGCCTTGGCTAAGGCAGTACGCCAATAGGGCGGATGCGGCCTTGTTGTGGCAGGGATTTCGAGAAGGGTTTGTTATTCCCTTCGTGGTTAGGGGACCGGGAACGATGTGTGGTAATCTCAAGTCAGTTCGGGAGCACCCGGGGGTAGCGCGGGAGAAGTTGAGCAAGGAAGTGCAGCTGGGGAGAATGGCGGGCCCATTCTTGGAGCCGCCGTTGGTCGACCTACGGATATCCCCACTCGGCGTGGTTCCCAAGAAGGAAGCGGGTAAGTTCAGGTTGATACATCATTTATCGTACCCAAAAGGGGCGTCGGTAAATGATGACATTGACGCGGCCCTCAGCTCCGTCTCTTATACGTCATTCGACAAGGCTGTCGAGTTGGTACGGAGAATGGGGCGAGGGGCGCTGATGGCGAAAGTGGATGTGGAGGCAGCCTTTCGGCTGCTCCCTATACACCCCAAATGCCATCATTTGCTCGGGTGCTATCTTGATGGGGGTTATTTCGTGGATCTGTGTTTACCAATGGGCTGTTCCATATCGTGCGCTTATTTTGAGAAATTTAGCACGTTTTTGGAATGGGTGGTGCGGAAGGAATCGGCAGGGGGTGCGGTGGTGCACTATCTTGACGACTTCCTCTGTGTCGGCCCGCAGGGAACGGGCCGGTGTAGACAGGTGTTGGAAGTGTTTCACTGGGTTGCACACTCTTTCGGGGTTCCCTTGGCGGGAGACAAGACGGTTGGGCCCACAACGTGCCTTAGTTTTTTGGGGTTGGAAATCGATTCCGTGAGAGGCGAATGTCGGTTACCTTCAGACAAACTAGTGGATCTGAGGGAGCGGGTGGCCACGGTAGGGAGGGCTAAGAAGGTGACGCTGCGGGGGCTTCAATCATTGGTGGGGAGCCTGAACTTCGCGTGCCGGGTGATACCAATGGGGAGGGTTTTCTGCAGGCGACTGGCACGTGCGACAAGTGGGGTGCGTTGGCCATCGCACTACGTTAGGGTCTCAGCGGATATGAAGGCGGACTTAAGGGTGTGGGACCAGTTCCTACAGGATTTTAATGGTAAGGTGTTCTTTAGGGACCCGGCGGCGGCAACAGAGGTGGGGCTGTACACTGATGCGTCGGGCAGTGTCGGTTTTGGGGCTTATCTTGCGGGTAATTGGTGCGCTGAGGAGTGGCCTGCAGCGTGGAAAGAAAGCCCGCTAATAAGGAATTTGGCGTTTTTGGAATTATTTCCGGTCGTGGTTGCGATGGGCTTATGGGGGCCGGCGTTGGCAAACAGGCACATCGTGTTCCACTCGGATAACATGTCTGTGGTGCAGGCGATAAACAGTTTGTCTGCGTCTTCCCCCCCGGTCTTGTGTTTGTTGCGGCGGTTTGTACTTCTTTGCATGTCCTTCAATGTGGTGTTTAGGGCTAAGCACATCCCTGGTATGTTGAATGTGGTGGCTGATGCGCTTTCTCGTTTTCAGTGGGAACGATTCCGGGAAGCGGCGCCAGACGCCCAGGAGATGGGGCAAGCATGCCCGGACGAGATGTGGCGGCTCGGGACGTCATGCTTGGGGAGTACATAAGGAACTCATTGGCGCCAAGCACGTGGTCGTCGTATGTTAAGGTTTGGAAGGAATGGGAGGAGACAGTTCAACAGGTAGGAGGCGTTTTTTCGGAGGGGCAGCGGGGGGACGTGCTGCTATGGTTGCTGTGTCGCCTGTTCTCAAGACAGGCTTCGCCGGCCATGGTGGACAGGTATATGTCTGCCCTGGCCTTTTTATTTAAGTTCAATGGTTGGGAGGACATTACTAAGAATTTCATGATACGTCAGGCGATACGAGGTTTTCGGAAGGGTAAGAAGTTTGGGGACACGAGAAGACCGGTGTCGTTCTCGGTGTTGCAAGGGTTGTTAGGAGCGTTGGCTGGGTTGTGTCATTCCCCTTTTGAGGTGGCGCTATTTTCGGGAGCGTTTGTATGGGCGTTCTTCGGAGCCTTCCGGATTGGCGAGCTGGTGAGCCCCAACAGGAAAGGGGCCGGCGGATTGCTGCTCGACGACGTGGACTTATGTAACGACAGGGTGCGGATCAGGTTGCGCCGCTCTAAAACGGACGTGTTTGGTAAAGGGTGCTCTGTGGTGTTGTACGAGTTACCGGGTTCAAGGGCGTGCCCGGTGGCTTGCGGGGCGCGGTACTTGGATGTCCGTCCCGGGCTGGCTGGTAGTTTTTTCCTGCATGCAGATGGGACGGCGCTGTCCCGCTTCCAATTTCTGCGGGTTTTTCGAGCGGGTTTACAGAAGCTGGGCTTGGAGCCCAAGCAATTTGGGACGCACTCGTTCCGCATAGGCGCAGCGACGGAGGCAGCACGCCTTGGTTTGGGGGACGAGCGGATTAAGCGGATCGGGAGGTGGGAATCCATGCGGTTCCGCACGTATGTGAGGCCTGACAGGCTGGTGTAAGTAAGCGTTGGGTAGGAAATTGAGAAAGGGGGGGGGGCATTTGTCTCCTCGCAACTAATTTTATTTCCTTTCAGGTTTGAAAGTTTGGTTGATGGGACACTCGTATGTGTACTGGGCGCAGAAGAGAGCCGCAGTTCGAAGATGCGGAACGCAGCTGGGTTTTCCTTTGGAACGAGTGGAATTATCATGGCTTGGTTTGAGGGGCGCTAGCTGGCAGGGTCTCTGCAGCGCGTTATTTAAAAAGTTGTCGGGGGGGGCGGTCCCAGACGTGGTACTGGTCCACGGAGGTGGGAACGACCTGGGCTTGATTCCTCAAAGGTTACTGGTTCGAAAAATGAAGAGGGATATGGATCGGCTGAGGGAGCTGGTTCCTGGCGTGGTCGTAGTTTGGTCTGAGATGGTGCCTCGCTTTACGTGGAAACACGCCAGGGATCCAGCTGCAATAGCTCGATCTAGGGGTAAGGTCAACAAAATTATGTCAGTCTTTATTAGACGGTCGGGGGGCGTGGTGGTGAGGCATAGGGAATTAGAGGGTATGCTGCCGGGATATTTTAGGAGGGATGGTATTCACCTATCGGATGTGGGGAATGATTTGCTGAACCTAGGTTTTCAGGATGGTATAGCACAGGCCCTGTTTAGATATGGTGGGGGTCGCACATTAGCTTAAGGGGGTCAAGCCATGTGCTGTGGCGGAACAGGGCGGTGTATATATTGGAACTTGCGTGGAATTGGAAATGGACAGGCCGAGGTTTAGGCCGGATGGAGTTAAGGATTGGTTGGTTCTAGCTCTTTGGTGGCTACGAACCTGGGGGTGTAGGGGTGTCCGAGGTATACCCCTACAGTTAACTGGACGATATGGGGCCTCTTTGGTAGGCCGTGTGTTTCAAGTTATATGTTATTTGTTGTTATTTATTGTTTAATTGCTAGGGTCATTGTCAGGGGTACTGTGTGGGGGTATAGTAACATAATGTCTAGTAGGACAATGACCCTAGATTATGTTAATTTATTATAATTAATTAATAAAGCTGTGGACTTTATACTCCAACAGAATTATCGGTGTTTTTTATTTAAGCGTAAGGGGTAGCACATGCCGAATAACGACTGTGCAAATGTCAGGTAGCCCATGGAGCAACGCAGTATGGGGAGTGGGCCTTGACAGAGCCAGGGAGTGGGCATGGGCTTAAGTTTGTGGGAAGGGTTTTGGGAGTGATGTTTTGGGGGGTGGAGAGTAGGGATATATAGAGCGTCCATATTAGAATAGGGGCCATTTTAACTGGAGCCTCTCTTACCTGTAGATTGTCCCACCCACCCTCCCTAGTTTTCAGTTCCGCTTGGTCACAGCGGCGGAACAGGGCGGTGTATATATTGGAACTTGCGTGGAATTGGAAATGGACAGGCCGAGGTTTAGGCCGGATGGAGTTAAGGATTGGTTGGTTCTAGCTCTTTGGTGGCTACGAACCTGGGGGTGTAGGGGTGTCCGAGGTATACCCCTACAGTTAACTGGACGATATGGGGCCTCTTTGGTAGGCCGTGTGTTTCAAGTTATATGTTATTTGTTGTTATTTATTGTTTAATTGCTAGGGTCATTGTCAGGGGTACTGTGTGGGGGTATAGTAACATAATGTCTAGTAGGACAATGGCCCTAGATTATGTTAATTTATTATAATTAATTAATAAAGCTGTGGACTTTATACTCCAACAGAATTATCGGTGTCAGTGTTTTATTTAAGCGTAAGGGGTAGCACATGCCGAATAACGACTGTGCAAATGTCATGATGTTTGCCCAGGAGCCAAGATGGAGGTGTCCAGTCCCATGGTAAAGATGTGAATTTCTACATTTTAATTTTTCAGACCACGCAAAAACATATTTGGTAAATATAGGGGATAGGTAAATGGGACTGGGAGCCATTTCTGCTTTAGAAACGTTTCTACATTGACTAGACATCTTCTGTAACATGGATCCATTACATTGTTATAGCAGCCAGTGTCAGAGGATAAATGTTGTGTTAGGAGAATATATGCTATATCCTGGTTCCCTTTGTAGATACAGTCCATACATGAAGCAGTGACTAATTGAATTCAAAGCCAAAGGCATAGATTCATATCCCAATAACTGACTGACAGGTTAGAACAGGAGAACCCTCCTACAGGGAGAGGGCTGAACAGGACTCTACTGTGTTACGTAAATTTGTTCAAAAAAAGTTGTAAACTGTATCCAGCTTCTTAGAGCACAGGAAAAACAAAGCAAAAAACACACAAACCTTTTTGGATACATTTACAACTGACACTCGACAGAAAAAAAAGCCATAATGAGAGCTCATATACTGTGTATCGGACCTGCAAATCTTTAAAATTAGGCATATCCTGGAATACTTTTGGAGGAGATGGGTTCATTTTGTTTGTCAAGGATAACATGTTGGTATGTTCTCCATGGTAATTGAAAGGGTTGTAGGAATATGTGGTAGCTATATTATAAAAGGAGAGAGTAAAGGATTGTCTGTGATCAAAGGGTAAAGATTTCTGCATGGGCAAAGTAGATTGATTTTTGTGAAAGGTTGCGAGTGAGCAGATGGTGATCACATAGTGAAATAGGTGTGTTAAAGAGAGTATACACAGGTTAGAGAACATGAGGTCAAGAGTCCCCTCTTCATAATCATTATCAAGCAATCTATTTCAGGCTACTGGTTTTGTCGCACCGTGCAGGGAGCAGTCAGAATGCTAATCTTCCCAAATTTATGTTCACAGCTAAATAAACTCTGACACTTTTTGATATCTCTTTACCGGCCCAGCATCAGATTCAAGCGTTTTAGGCCAAACCGATCCATCTTCCTATCGCAATAAATAGCATGTCTTCAATTGTCCAATCCTAGTGGTTCCATGACACTATAGTCTGTCTGTTATTGTCAGGCTAGAATGGACACAGCCGGGTCTTGTGCTTCAAGGTTCAATGCTTTGTGTTTGTTTACATATACTCTTCTGCACACCATGTTGCATAAAGATTTGTTAATTGAGTATGTGAGTCCACTCTGTCACCTTCAACAAGTGTGGATACTCTCTTCCGACCTTACTTTAACAAGGTGACTTTGCTCTCACAATTGTTGCTCATTGACCTGTAGTTTATACAAATCCCAAATCAGCAGTTTCTGATATGTCACCATATCAAGGTTACAGAATCATATTATGCTTGCTCAGTTCATACACCACCATTGTAGAGTTAAAAGAACACTATTGAGTCAAGTATACAAACATGTATTCCTGACCCTATAGTGTTAAAACCATCATCTGGCCCCTCCTTGCCCCCATAAATATATTTAAATCTTACTTTTATTCCAATCTGTTGCTGGTTCTGCCCCTGATCTTCCCATAGGATTGGCTGAGACTGTCCTGGAGGCAGTTCAGGGGCAGAGCCAGCACAAGCCAAACACAGCTCTGGCCAATCAGCATCTCCTCATAGAGATGTATTGAATCAATGCATCTCTATTAGGAAAGTTCAGTGTCTCCATGCAGAGAGTGGAGACACTGAATGTCATTCATACTGTGCAGCACTGCCCCAGGAAGCACCTCTAGCAGCCATCTGAGGAGTGGCCAGTGGAGGAATCACTAGGCTGTAATGTAAACACTGCATTTTCTCTGGGGAAAAAACAAACAGTGTTTACAGCAAAAATTCTGTAGGGAATGATTGTACTCACCATAACAAATACAATAAACTGTAGCTCTTCTCGTGACTATAGTGTCCCTTTAAAGAGTTTATCTGTTTCCTTATATGGAATGTACAGGCAAGTGTAAATACTATTGCGGCCACTTATTGTTTGCCTCTATATGTTCTCTATTTTTAGAATTTACAAATATTACATATGATCAATTTTTATCACTTTCTCTGCAACATGGAATCGGCAATGTGCTTCCACTGGAGTTACTGTTCACTGCATTTTGTGGTGTGTTTTTTTGTTTTTTTTTTACACTTTTAGGATACTGCAACAAGTAAACCATCATAGTGGACTGTGTTATATTTGGTTTTATCTCTGTAGGGTCAGTACTTAAATGATTCACAAATTTAGGTATCATAGATACATGACTACCTTCTCAATATCTGATTGTAAGTTTTTTGTTTTTTTTTAAGTTTCTGCCACCTTAAGAATGTGCTCAGCTGGAAGTTGACATCAAATAATAGGTGTACCACCTCGGGTAGACGCGTGGATATGGTTTAATATTAGCATGTCGAAGCTAACAGCAATTATTAACAAGACTACTGATATGTCAAACAGGTGGATATTAGCAGAGCTTTATTGGGGAAAATAATAACAGAAGAATCAATTCGAGTTCAATCAGTTCAATATTCCAAATACTCACATCATAAACATGGAATTTCGCTATCTTTTAAAAGAAGCAAATCTTTGAACAATTCTGATGATGGAGTTCATATTAAACATGCAATCAGTTGTTTTGATAACAAGTTTAAACATACAGGAACAAAAGGTGAGGAGGGCCCTGTTCGAGGAATCTTCTAACCTAATCATGCATGTATAAATACATATGGATTTATAACCCAGAGTATCAATATCAGCTGAAAGACGCGCAGGGAGATTTTTGTCCAGTTTGCGTGTCCGTCCAATCCCTGGTTTCCATTTGGGTACCCGTAATGTGTTTCAAATAAATGTGCGAGAAGACTTGTAAATTGGTACCACAGCTCAATTAAAAGCAGAGACCACCCACTGCGGGACAAACATAATTATTGCTGGTGTTTATTTACCTGTCAATTAAGACCAAGGACATTGACGTATGCTGCAAACTTGTTCAGCTGAAAGAATGCATTGATTAAGCATTTTTGCATGAATTAAGCAAGTGAGAGACGACCTTTTGTAAATGGGAATACTTTGTTTCCTCTAACACACTGAGCAGATGGTGTAGGAGAGGCCGGAGCTGAGCTTGGTGCTGTACTCGTTACCTGTTAAGACAACGTAATGGACATATCTTTTATGAATCAGTCTAATTGCAGCACAATGATGGTTTAGGTTGTTTGCATTTGTTTGTAATTTGTGTTTTTTCATGTATCAGTTCAATTACTGTGCATATCCAATAACAGTAAATATTGCATACTCTCTGAGCAGGCCCTTCCCCACACATTTACTCTGATAGCTGCAATTATTGTGTGTCTGTTTTATCCATTGTACAGCGCTGCAGATTACGTTGGTGCCTTAACACCTTAAAGGGACATTCCAGGCTGGGGTTAATCCTTTTATCCCCCCATCATTATTATAGATAAAGCATTAATAAATACATAAAAACAAATAATTAAAATACAATAAATATCCTCACTGCAAAATATCAGTCTGTGGAGATCCATAGTGAGCTCCCACCAAACCAGGAAGTGATTTGTTGTTATATAGCAATGGTGAGCTTATCCCAAACGCGAAAGAGGAGATAAGGTTGCGCCATGGTGCAACCTTATCTGATTTGTTTAGTTATTACTTACCTGTGGGGCTTCTAGGGAGCCGTACTATTTTAGGTGTGCTGCCTCATTTACATATATTCCAGATATTGTGTTTGGTTTTTAGAGCGCTGATCCTTTTCCATTTCGTTCCTTATCCCATGCGCGGTATTTTATGAGCACAGCAATATATTCCTGGAGTTGTAGATCAGCGGTGAGTTTCCCTCTATGAAAAGCTGAACTGCACCTTTCAGGCCATCATATTAGGAACGGGATTGTTTTTGGAGCAAACATGAAACAGAGCAGATTGATTGGAAAGACATAATGGATTGGGGTCATAGAGCAAAACAAATGATAATTATCTTAAACAAAATAAAGATTAGTAGGCAGAATCCTCCCAGTGTAACTGTATCTACACATTGCAACTGATCTGTGGGTGACAGGTGTCAATCTTTAAGGACTAACAGTAGACATAATTCAGGTTTCTGTTCCCCTGCACAGTGGAATTCTGGGAACTAATTGTCTCAAACCATGAAATCCTATGTTCTCATTGTCTGCTGGCAATGCATGCAATAAGCAGCCACAGTCACTCTTTTCCTAGCAGTAGTATATACAGGATACAAAGGATGTGATCTAACACCACAATAAGATATAGCCCTATATCAAATGAATTTGGTTAGATGAATCTTATATTAAAGGGAAACTATAGTGCCAGGAAAATAAACTAGTTTTCCTGGCACTATAGCTTCATCTTCCTTCAATGACCCCTTCTGTCACTTACCTGGGACCAGCGGCAATGTTCCTCGGCGCTGGCTCGGATCCGCCCATGCTCCTCCCCACCGTCAGCCAGGGGGAAGACCTAATGTGCATGCGCAGCAATGGCCACTCTCGCATTAGCATTGCCCAATAGGAAAGTATTAATCAATGCTTTTCTATAGGGATTCTGGTGACGCTGGAAGTCCTCATGCATAGCGTGAGGACGTCCAGCATCATTTAGGCGACCAAAAGTTGCCTATCCACCCGGAAGTCCCTCTAGTGGAGTTACCCCTAGCAAGTAATTATTGCAGTTTATAAAAACCGCAATAATTACATGCTCAGGCTTAAGGGACCTGGAGCAATGCACCCAGACCACTTTAATGAGCTGAAGTGGTCTGGGTGCCTACAGTGTCCCTTTAACCTCTTGGAAAGATGTGCTTACAATGGTTCATGTAAAATATAGCTGTGATTATTTGCATGCCATGTGATAGCCTTCCAGCCTTTGAGAACAGATACTTTCCCATTCAATCTGTGACCCTATTTAATGTGAATACCAGAAGGCCTACCAGTAAAACTGTTTGTTTTGTTTAGGTTTCAAGATCATTTGTACTTTCACGTGTGTCTTTCTTTGTGTCAACATCTAATTACGCCATTTCCCTTACTGGATCTCTTCTTGCTACGGAGTTATCCAAAGCAGTGGACTCTGCACGTATTGGCCCCCTTGATGTAAACCATCCCATTTGAAATCTTCTGTACTGTCAATAGATTCCCAATCACACTAACCATTCCTGTAAATGCCTGGCCAAAGCTCTTAACCCATTTACAGAAGCACGCGCTAAAGAAAAGGTATCCTAAAACGTGATACATAAAATACAATTTACTTACAAGTGACTACTGCAGTGATTTTATGTGGCCATGGTGGTGGGAGTCACTATGTGCAATGTTTCTCCATACTGAGAAAGTGCCAAGATAGGCACGGAACGCGTCCATGACCTCCTTGAAGGCTGGGACTCTTGCTGGGACTCTCTCCAGTGTTTCTTAGAGGTAGATTTTGCTATCTCCAGCTGCCTTTTGCCTTTCCCTGCTTCCCCCTTTTCCTTTTGGGTGTTTCAGTTCCACCTATTTGAATGTGCAGATCGGTTGCCCACTGGCTTTTGGTGCAATTATTGGAGGTAACATCTTATTAGGTTGGCTACTAGTTGCTGACATTTTATTGTTATATTTTTACCTCTACCTTTTTTTTAATGAATTGTGCACTTTTTCATTACCTACCTGTGGCATTATTTTGGAGCTACTACCGTGTGCGGACTTCAATGTAAATATTGGTGTACTACAAACCCCTAGCCCAGGGATAGGCAACCTTCGGCACTCCAGATGTTATGGACTACATCCCCCATAATGCTCTGACGCCCATAATGCTGGTAAAGCATCATGGGAGGTGTAGTCCAAAACATCTGGAGTGCCAAAGGTTTCCTGTGCCTGCCCTAGCCAGTTTAGGTATTTCCAGCTCAAACACACCTGCAGTAATTAATGAAGCCCTTGATTGGTTGCATCAGGGGTGCTTAAGACAACCCCTGGTTTTCTATGTGTGCTGGTGTAAGGGAATCTATTCAGGGGGTTGACCAGTTTGGAGACTGGAGAAGTCAATATCCGTTGCATTTTCAGTTAAATTTCAGGAAACCACATGACGCGTTCGTTGTGTTGAGCTATTTCAATAGCTTTTGTTTGATTTGTTTATTGCAAACAGCTGAAAGTCTGTACATTGGGACAATAAAGCTGATTTTCAATGGAGGTCAAATAATTTTGATTACAACTGTATATATTACTGTATCTATTTCGCCCTTTGAGATTACTGCTAAGTTTACTGAATTCCACCTATTCAGGCGGTGACTCTACATAACATGGCATAGCTTCTGCTGTGATATGCCATATTGTATATCCATAGCCGGGATGATACTGCCTCAGCTGGCTGACACTGAGAGTTTATCATCTTTTTTCACGTGAGTGCGGATCCTTCTTTATCCGCTAGTGATTACTGTATTACACTAAATAACTCGTTCCTCATTGGAGCTGGAACTAAAATCAGCATGGCTACAATAACTTGCACTGAGATTTGTAACACCATATATGTTATATTGGCACATCATACATTTTTATTTTTTGGTTTTATTCCTTGTGGACCGGTGCATGTTTTTATTTGCAAGATATGCCCTTGCTAAATCCACTCATTGCATTTTTGTGTTCTGTGTTAAAGCCAGGTCCCTGAATTCTTTAATTAGTTAGAAAAAAAAAACAAGTCACTCAGATACCATATGATAACTCACTCAGTTCATACAAAGCACATTTGGGGTTTTCCCCTAAAGTGAAAATCGCTGGAAATTCAGTCACTTTGAAAATTTAGGCCACATTAGACAAATTCTCCAAGTCAATTCTGTTTCCAGTTTGCCTATTATGGCCTTAAATTGTAAATTTGCTTTGAATTCCTGGACATTCTCACATTCGTGAATAACCCTGATTATTGCTATTAGATCACACTTAATTCTCTAATACTCTTCCAGACTACAACTCGCATAGAATTCCAGGTGTTGCAATTCTTCTAAAGTGTGGAGGGCAGAGTTTAATTAAGACCACTGCCTTAGACTATCACTGAGATACTTGTCAGGATGTTGTTGTGTAATTTCCGGGGGATAGTCCATGCAAATGTAATATCTAGCCATAGTTGTATGCAGTTTGTGTGATTGGATCAATGCTTCTAACATTCCCGGTTTCAAAGCAAAACAAGTTATTGATATTTGACATTTCTGGCTGTTCACATGAATGGAGTTCAGATTGTGAAGCTGCAGTGGGTCCATTCTTTCACGTCTAACAATTGTAGGTGGTCTTACATCAGATCCAAAGAATATATGATTTATGACTGATCCGTAGTTTTACCCCAGCATGAAGCCATTGGTGTTCGAGGTGGTCCTCCGATCTTCTTATGAGTTAGACACATTGTAAACAGAGGGCAGATATGGGGTACTTTTACTTTCAAGTCGGTAACGTTTTTCCCGTGTTCTGAAGAAATGACTTCATGTATGCCTTGCTGGGCTTCAGTCTGTATGGTAAATAGAGAGTGCTTTAACTACACTTTTCTCAGTAAGAGTTGTTAAAATAATTGTATTTCTGTTTTCACATCTGCAAAAATTAAGCATAACGGCATGAAGCCCATTAAACCATTTCATATCGTACTGTAATAAATTCTTCTTCATTCCCATTGCTGTTATTATTCCAAACTCTTTGCAGTTTGAGTTATTTATAGCAGCTCATTCATCAGTAAAAACTTCAAACAAAATCTGTTAGCCTTCTAATTGTAAGCCAAAAACAACGAACTGTAAGACAACTCGTTTAGAAACAAAGCACTGGAGGCCACTAGGAACTTGGTTGGAAAATATGTGGAATTTTAACAAATACCAGGTAGCCAATATGGGTTGGCATTAAACCCACTAAACTTTCTCAGCCCCCACCAAAGCATTTGCAAAATGATACGTTGCTTTATTTGTATTTATTTTAAGTGTCTAATTCTTATAACTGTAAGATATAAAGAATCAACAATGGTGGGAGATTAATTACTATGGTGAGCTGAGCTTCCTGTGAATAGGTCGCAATGCCATAGCAAAACAAGATATAACATTGTTTAAGGTGATAGTTCGAATGGTCGGATTGTCACAATGTCCTTGATTTTACAAAAGTCTTCTTCCCATTAGAGCATCATTTTTATTTTCTTCTAACGTGGAGGAGGAGAGGGCTATTGAAATGTTTCAATGTTCCAAATTCTTACACTTTGTTTTAATTAAACGTAAAGCTAAAATATAAAGCAATCCATATATGTCGTTTTTAGAACAGTTTCTAACATTTGTATTTTGTCTAATTCCTATTTTTCTGCAAGTTATTCAGGCATTCTGTGTAATGCCTAGGCAAAGTATGAATATATGTCGGACTAGCTCTGAGCCTCGGTGTGAGACATTTTGTGGCCAATATTGTGCGATGTGTAAGCACTTATTCTGAGAAATTGGTTGTGGAAAACTGGATGTTGTGCTCTGCATTTTTTTAAGCTGAATGTTAACAATAAACTCTGATTTGAGGATAAACCATGATGGGAACACTCGTCCTCGTGAGAAAATATATATTTGGCTCCTAACATGTGAGTGATGGTGGGTGTCAGCACTTTGCTGGATATGCTGAAATGTGTACACAGATATTATATGAAGCCATAAACACGTTGCCTGAGTTGTGTGACGTAAGGTATGGACACATATTATAATGCTAGATAGGAATTGTTCCAATATTTTCCATAAATTAGATAAAATACACCACATTAAAGGGAACCTTTTGACACCATAACAATTCATAGGAATTAAGTTGTTATGGTGCCAGGATGTCCCTGGTGCCGGCTCACCTTTACTGGGTATGTGTTAACAGTTAAACCCAATTTGGATCCAGTACCAGTAAGCCCTGCCCCTCTCCTTACACTATTTCCAGAGGCTTGAATCAGAAAGCCTCAGACAGGGGCATCATTGATGGCTTTTTTTGCATCAGCTGACACTTTAAGCCAATGAGTAGCACCCTATTCACACGACGACTTGAAAGACGTCACAGTGGAGCCCTTTCATTCTGATGAAGTTGTTGTGGTGCCCGGAGGTCCCCATTAAATAAAGCTGAACATGCAAATGGAGTGTGTGTGTGAAGCTAGGTGTGCACCAGTCAGGTAGCACTGTGTGAAGATAGGTTTGAGCACTGCTCATTGTGTGAGCACACAGGTGCATTGTATAAAGCTAGGTGTGCACCAGCCAGGTAGCACTGTGTGAAGATAGGTTTGAGCACTGCTCATTGTGTGAGCACACAGGTGCATTGTATAAAGCTAGGTGTACACCAGCCAGGTAGTACTGTGTGAAGATAGGTTTGAGCACTGCTCATTGTGTGAGCACACAGGTGCATTGTATAAAGCTAGGTGTGCACCAGCCAGGTAGCACTGTGTGAAGATAGGTTTGAGCACTGCTCATTGTGTGAAGCAAAGTGTGAGTTCTAAGCACTGTTTAAAGTTGACTTGAGTCCTTGCACTGTGTAATGCTAGGTGTTAGCCATCAGCATTATGTAAAGTTATGTGTCCTCTTTTATGAAGTTAGTTCACCAATTTGTTAGGTGTCAGTGTTTCGCTGTTTGTTTAAAGCATGCCTGGACTTGCCATTGGGTAAACCAGGCAAATGCCCAGTGGGCTTCTAAGATCATGGGCCGAGGCCAACATAGGAGATCAGAGAATTTTTCCTGCTGGCCCATGCAGAGTCTGTGGTGTCCCATATCAAAGATCTCCCTCACTGGCCCACAGGTACTTCATGTGGCAAAGGGAAAGGAGAGGTGAGAGAAGGACCTGGGGTCTTGCTAGCTCAAAAGGTTGCCACAGTTATCATGGCAATGTTCCGTCAGTGCCAAATCTCACTAGAGTGAACTCTACACAGAGAAGCTGCAGGCTAGAGTTCACTAAGTACCATCAGACCACCAGGGTTTACAATGTCCCGCGTCCCTGGTTAAAGGTGAGAACAAGAGGGGGGATTGAAAGTTTATTATTACGCAAACACACTCTCTACAGCCCCTACACACACTACATCACATATACAACATACACTACAGCCCATATACACACTATACCCACTGGCGTAATTACCATGATTGCAGGGGTCGCAGGAATGGGACAAATGAAGGGGCTGTGGAAGGAGGGAATGGGACAAATGAAGGCGCTGTGGGAGGAGGGAATGGGACTAATGAAGGGGCTGTGGGAGGAGGGAATGGGACACATGGAGGGGCCAGGGCCGTCTTTAACGCGGGGCAAACGGGGCAGCTGCCCCGGGCCCATTTTCTCTTGGGGGGCCCGAGGCACCTGCCCCGTGGGCCCCGGTGACCCCGGCGGGCGGGTGGCCGGTCGGGCAGGAAGGCGGGCGCGCGAGGGAGCACTCACTGCTTCCTCTTCAGCTCCCTCGCGCACCGCACTGATGCCGGAGCCGGAAGATGACGCCATCTTCCGGCGCCGGCATCCCTACGCGGCGCGCGAGGGAGCTGAAGAGGAAGCAGTGAGTGCTCCCTCGCGCGCCTGCCTTCCTGCCCGACCGGCCACCCGCCCAGGAGCCCAGCAGCACCACTGGACCCCAGGGAATCCCCCCAGCACTCCAAAAGGTAAGGAGGCTGGGGGGATTACATTTTTTAAAAAAAAAATGTGTGTTTGTGTGTTAGTGTATGTGTGTGTTAGTGTTTGTGTATGTGTGTGTTTGTGTGTGTGTGTATGTGTGTGTTAGTGTTTGTGTGTTAGTGTATGTGTGTGTTTGTGTGTTAGTGTATGTGTGTGTTAGTGTTTGTGTATGTGTGTGTTTGTTTATGTGTGTGTTAGTGTTTGTGTGTTAGTGTATGTGTGTGTTAGTGTATGTATGTGTGTGTTTGTGTGTGTTAGTGTATGTGTGTTAGTGTGTGTTAGTGTATGTGTTTGTGTGTTAGTGTATGTGTGTGTTAGTGTATGTATGTGTGTTTATGTGTGTTTGTGTGTGTAGTGTATGTGTGTTAGTGTGTGTTTGTGTATGTGTGTTAGTGTGTGTATGTGTGTTAGTGTATGTGTGTGTGTGTGTGTTTGTGTGTTAGTGTATGTGTGTTAGTGTATGTGTGTGTTAGTGTATGTGTGTGTGTGTGTCAGTATGTCTGTGTGTGTGTGTCAGTATGTCTGTCTGTGTGTCAGTATATATGTGTGTGTATATCTGTGTGTGTCAGTATGTGTATGTGTCAGTATGTCTGTCAGTGCGTCAGTATGTCTGTTAGTGCATGTGTATGCATGTGTCAGTATATCTGTCTGTGTGCCAGTATGTCTGTGTGTGTGTGTGTCAGTATATCAGTCTGTGTGTGTCAGTGTATGTGCCTGTGTGTGTGTGTCAGTATTTCTCAGTGTATGTGGGTGTCAGTATATCTGTCAGTGTGTGGGTGTCAGTATTTCTGTCAGTGTATGTGTGTCAGTATGTTGATCAGTGTATGTGTCTGTGTGTGTGTGTCAGTATGTCGGTATATGTGTCTGTGTGTCAGTATGTCTGTATATGTGCCTGTGTCAGTATGTCTGTCAGTACGTCTACCAGTGTATGTGTCTGTGTGTGTGTCAATATATGTACCTGTGTCAGTGTGTCTGTCAGTGTATGTGCCTGTTTATCTGTATGTAGTCAGTGTATGTATCTGTGTATCTGCTTGTGCGTCAGAGTGTGTACCTGTGCATCTGAGCCGCAACTTTAAATACAAATACACCCCTCCATTCAAACTTCAACACTACATATAAAACACACTCCTGCATTGAAACGTCAACACTACATACAAGCACACTCCTACATTCAAAAACAAACACTACACATAAATGCACACTTGCATTCAAACTCCAGTACCACATACAAACACATTCACACAAACATACTCCATACAAACACATGCTTACATTCAAACATACTAACATGGCTCAGTGCTAAATACAACCCTGCAAGCATGGGAAATTGGTAGAGTCCCAGCTGTCAAAGCATTGTTGGAGTTGCACGACAGATGGGGTTCTACCTTTAGTCCAACCTTGCAATTGGGGGTCCCAATAAAATTCATTCTACTTTAGTACCGCCACTGCGTTGGGATGGATGCCGTGATTGCATACCAGGGAGTGAGGGGCGAGAGTGGCAGGGCACAGGGGGCCCAAGCAAACACTTGCCCAGGGTCCATTCGTTATTAAAGATGGCCCTGGGAGGGGCTGAGTAGAGGGAATTAGTCATTGTTGATAACCAAACACCCAGGGCCAGCGCAACCATTAGGAAAACTAAGCATTCGCCTAGGGCGCCAGCCTGCAGGGGGCACCCATCCGGAAATTGCCTGGTGGGCTGCCCATGTCTTGGGCCGCAGAGCTGGGCGTGTGCTGCCCTCATCCCCCAGCACCGGGCCGATCCTCCAGGCGCCCAAAGGTGTGTGTGTGTCTGTCAGTGTGTTTGTGTCTGTCTGTCTGTCAGTGAGTGAGTGTATGTCTTTCAGTAAGTGTGTGTGACAGTGTGTGTCTACCAGTGAGTGAGTGACATGAGGTGGCGGCATAATGGATCTTTGCCTAGGGCGGCAGAAATTCTTGCACCAGCCCTGCAAACACCCGCCCCTGTCTGGCCCTTCCCCCTTCTCACTGATTGAAAAATGCCCAGTCCGGAGTGTTTTTCCCTCTCCTGTCCTATGTAAAGGTAATGAGATGTAACCTGGTAATGTAGCACATATTACTTAATATAGCATTTATCTATGATTATACAAAAAAGCCCAATTTGTGTTCTGGCACATTTTAAACCTTGTACAATCTTGGAAAAAGAGTCGTTTTTATATAAAATTGTTCTACTACCAATTAAAGTTTGATCCATTCATATTCCGGATGCAATCAAAAGGTTAAACATGTTTTATTAATAACAATAATAATAATAATAATAAAATAGTTGTGTGTGCATTCCTGACTTGCAGTGTGTGGAAGATTCTGCTGACTATGCCTAGCTAAATTTAGAATAAACTTTTTTGGAATTCTGTTTTAATTAAATAATCTAATAATGTTTTATTAACTATTGACCCGCATGCTGAATCATATTGTGAAAACGATCTTTATATATGACTTGAGGCTGTTTTTCTTTTTGTAAACATTCTGGTCCTTTTTTTTTCCAGTAAAAATAAATAAATCTTGCTATAAAAATATATTCTTTCCTACAATACGTTGTTGGTTACCACCAGTGAGACATGTTGGTTGTTAAGGAGTGACAATTTCTGTGTTTTGCTCAGCAATAAGTTAAATGAAATATGGACACATCGTGCTAAATCGTGTTATAAAATGATCTACTATAGCGCTAAATATGGCATGTAATAATTTTGAGTATTGTTTTGTTTTTTTATTTTGTTGTTTTCTGAATAGTTGAATTAATAGAAAATCCTATGAGATTGCTAGCAAGGATTAACCTATGAGACAATATTTGGATTCCGTTTAAACTGACATTTCTACTGTACTAAACATGTTTAATATACTCACCAGGGAAGCAGTGTAAAGAAATTTGAATACATGTTGATGCATTGATTGTGTATTTGTTCCTTTTATATGCTTTCAGTCTAGATTATTAAACTGCAGACCGGGTCCTTAAAGAAGACTATATTCGCTTCTGTCAAACAAAGTCATGCAATATCATTTATTAGCTGTTTATAAAGCTGTATGTAAAATGAATGGTGGCGGTCATTACATAACGTGTCTAATAGTTTTTTAATATATATAATAAAAGCTTTCCTACACATACAATACTACTTCTGAAACAGAATGTCTGCGGTGATGCTGTGATTAGTTTTTTTTAAATATGCACCAATTTTTTCCATTGTGTTTTAATTTCTAATTAAATTTTTTATAGTACAGGACAATGTATAAAATATTTAAGAATTCTAAGGTTCTGTAATAAAATGTTTATCTAAAAATCACAGCATTTTATTTATTGTTTGGTTTATCCATGAATTGACCAGGAGACAGAGGTACACCTCTATTTGGCAACAACGGGATTCTGTCTTGACCCCCTGGTTTAACCCTTTATGTGCATTTTAACCCCTCTTTTGCAGCCCAAGTCTCTCCACCCCCACCCCACCCTTCTCTGTGCTCCTTACTAGTTATTGTTGCAATGCCAGGGATCTGGGAGCTGCAGAAGATGAGAATGGCCATGTTACTCTGATAGTCTGCAGAGAATGGTGTGCATGGAGGCCACAGAGGCGAAGATACAGCAGTTCATCTTATTCACGCCCCCTCCACTAACATGGGCACTCTCCAATTGTATACCGGGCAGAGGTGCATGCATACCCCAGCTCCTGATACCCAGGGCCTATTGTCCACCATTATAGTACGCTATTGCAGGGTGATGGTAAATATTGGGCTGAATTGGAAAAATTCTCCAACATTTTTCTTATCCATTTTTTGCTATTTTCCCTTAGATTTGCAATTCCTTTGAAAGTTCCCCATAATTCCTGGGTTAGTCAACAGCTCATATGAAAACCTCATTATTAAAGAAAGTTATAATGTTAAAGTAGCAGTCCAGGTACCATAACCCATACTTGCCGATATACTGGTTGTGGTGCCATTTTTTTTTTTTTTACTTAAACCAGTTGTGCCTGAGGCCTGTCCCTCTACCCTGATTTTTCTAAGAATAAAAAATCAGCTAGTGGAATGTCCATACTAGCAGAATTTCATCCATATTTTGGTACTATTAATTAGGTGAGCGTGAACACCCAATTTATAACACTAAATATGAATGAAAATGTGGAACTTCTACAATCTCAATAGGTGAGCAGGAGGTCAGGCAATGGTAGTCCTCAGGACACCAATTTGGTCAAACAACTATCAAGAGCAGTTTAATTAGGGTGGGGTGGGGGAGCACTAATAGTCAGATGGCACCGTGATTATGATGTTGAAATGCCTAAGCTACTCCTTTAAAGAGACACCACTAGTTCATCTCATTTCTTAGATTGCCATAGCCAAACACATGCATTGCATTGGTCATTTTGCTGAAGAGAGAAGCAAGCTTTGTGTAAGTATTAATCCCAACAGATATCAAAGGTTCAGCTATAGGAGTCTAAAATTACGGCAAAACAAATGGAAACCCAGTGAGAATGTCTTATCCCTGGAATGGTGATAATTGGAGCTTACATTATTATTATTATTATTATTATTATTATTATTATTATTATTATATTTATATAGTGCTAACAAATTTAGTAGCGCTTTACAATGGGTGGACTGACAAACCACAATCTAAAATGACACCATGGGGGAATGCCCTGTGCCAGGGACAACCATGGTAATGGCTCAATAATATAATGCTAAGCACCATGTCCGAAAAACACTGCCACCAATAATAGTGTTATCTCCCAATAATCTGACCCGTTTCCAAGCAGGTGGGTCAGTCTTCTCTTCCAGGATAATTCATACTTAAAATAGGTTGGAAAAAACAGTCCATCCCATGCGTTAACCTGTTTGTTAAAATATATATATATATATATATATATATATATATATATACCACTAACAGTATTATTTTATAAAATATTATACCAAAAAACAACAGATTATCATTTTTCTTGTTTCCAGCTCTGTCCATCAATATATATGTGCAATTGAAAGTTTTTGAAGTACACACAAAAATCAGACAGCCAGTTTATCAGCACATTTAGACCCTGATGACGCAGTTTTTGTAGCATTGTTTGAGTGTAAGCACGTTCTGCAATATTTCCACCACTGTGTCGATTTACAATGTACGTTCTAGTGGAAGAGATGTGTTTCTGTACAGCCTGTATTACACATTTATAAACACGAATATATTTAAACTTCCCACCCAAACATAGTGATGTTGATAAACCAGTATGTAAGACTGTCCATTACATTCATGTCTTTGGTTGTTTGTTTTGAAGATACTGGAAAATTAACTGGAGGTTTACAGATCTTTTATTTGTTTTGGCATTTTACCGTTGTAGTCATCAGACACCATAAGCGTAAAGATGGAGCCCTACTAGCTTTTGGGACATAGGAAACAAGCATCCTCTAGAATGTGCGCTCATTGAGCAGGACCCTCCACCTCTCTGTCCCTGTACGTCCAGTTGTCTGGTTACAATTACATGTCTGTTAGTCCACCCCTTGTACAGGGCTACGGAATCTGATGGCGCTATATAAATATTAAAATAATAATAACAATAATAATAGTCGGCACCTTTACTGGCTAGCCAGGGACTGAGTATGCTTCTTCGACTATCTCACTGTGCAGTGAAATCAGAGATCGAAATTGTCACAGCAGCTATGTACACATATGGTGAGGATACAGTCATTTGACATTTAGATGTTATTTATTAATCCAAAATAAAATAAAAATCTGAAATACAAACATAAAGTAAACATAGTAGCAAAATCTATTCGATAGACAGACAGAGGGATATAGATAACGTTGTGCTAACGTGTTCAATGGCTGCTCACCATTGGTCTCTGCACCAATATACAAATCCACGTAATGATAGCAGTGACTTCTGGGGTCATCGTTTCCCCACATTGGAAACTTGTTTGAACAGGGCCTTCTTCGTCTCTTTCTCTGCCAGTATTATTGTGTATGTCAATTATTTTTCAAACAATACTTAAAGGGCTGCAGAAAATGTTGCTGCTAATGTCAGACTGCTGTAATTTTACATTTTCTTTGAATACAATCGCTATGATTTATCTAATAAACATCCACGAGTGGCTGGGTAATAATGCACCAAGCCATGGATTGCCGCCGTTACCTGTATAGTGTGTTTTATGTATGCAAATACACATGTATACAGCGATCTAAATAAAGCTTATTTAATTCCTATTCAGGAGAAACCCGGAGCGATAGCAAGGGGCGGGATATTACTCCAGCCAAGTACCGATTTACTAACATGTCAGATATGTAGGTACATGTAGCTGGTATTCCTCTTACATGGATCATAAACCTGAGGCCTACAGTTCAGTATCCAGAAATCCTAATAATATAATGATGTGCAGTCACTAAACTGGGAATTATGGAAGCTTGTCAAAAGAATGGCAAATTCTTACTCCTGAAAAACTGAGCTTGGAAAATCGCTGACTGGGAGGGGGGTTACACATCAGCTAAAATTTGCAATTACCTAGTAAATTCTCCATAATTCCCTGTTTAGCGAATAAACGCTGAGTAAAATCCCATAATTACATCTACAAACAGAAACAGAACATGATGGTTTGTATACTTAAAATTGATTATTTTTTTTTAGAAAAATAAAAGTTTGTTTCAAAACATTTGTGAAACTGTTAATTTCTGACAAAATGAGAAAAACTGCTAGCTGAATATACATGCAGTTACAGATTTGTAAAATGTATTGGTTTTAGAAATCCATTGATATTTTCATCATTTGCTTTCTCAAACATATATATCTGTATTTATTTTTCTTTCTTTCATTACGACATTTATTATTTTTGGAGTTACATCCCAGACTTGTAGTTAAACATGTTGTTACACGGTGGACATAAAACCTTAAAAAATGATGAAGGATCCTAAAATCTTTACCTTTATATACAATAAATTGAAAGGGATTGTTCTTTACGTCGTGCGTGGATGAGCTGATGAATATAAAAACATATACAGAATAACCCTGAATGTAAATTTTCACATTTTAGATCAGAAATTGTTTCACTATTTTGGCCTAAAAGTTGTGACACTGAATATTCTAAGAATCCCTGGCAGTTCCCACATTATGTCAATGTTACATATACAGAGGGCTGAGAATATGAATAATACCCACCTTTAATCAGTATTTACTGCAGTTATGGGTGTGAATAATTCTATTGATTGGCTTGGTGTGACCTATCACATGATACAGGGTTCATGTATACCCATCCTATAACTGTCCCTGTTTCCCACATTCCCAGCTTCAGAATGACCCCAGACAGTGGGACACTGTGGGAAATGGACTTCTCAGACAGCCCTTATTAACTCCTGCAATGCTGTGTGATTGGAATGGTTCCTACATAGAGATCCAGTCTGATACATTGTAACCCTCCCAGCCCCTGCCATTAAATACACACAGGATGGAGATTGGGGTAAATTAACCACAAACACTGGATTGCATTATATATATATATTGAATCGGTGGTTTATTCTTCAGTTCGAGTTAATAAAACATGACCTCTCGTATATTGTCTTAATAAACAAAGTAAAAACATGTGGTTTTCTTCTCATTGGATAAAACATAATAAATTCTTGCAATTCTGACCCCCAATTCGTTATTTAAAAACAAAGTTACAAATCATGAGCTGATTTACAGATTAATACAGTTTTTCTCTAATGCAAAGTCGTGTTTTTAAAGCGAGCGTGTGTGTACCTCTATATTTACTATCAATTCGCTGATCACGGAGTGCCCTTTAATACAATTATTATTATGGAGATACATTTGTATTTTGTAATGAGTTTTTTTTCTGTTAAATATCTATTTACTATTATGAACATTACAATGCAATACATGTTTTCTAAAAAATAGCAATATTATTATTATTATTATTTAATTGTTATATTACCTCTCCAGATAAGATAAATGCAGGATAGATTCTAACACAGGTGGATGTGAACGATTTAATTCAAGGTTAAAAAAAATGTAGACTCATATAGGAAACTTTTTAGGAAAATCTTTTACTGGGAATAACCCGTATCTGGCAAGGCTAGAGGGAGATAAGAAAACACAGGCACCCCTAATTGGTAAAATCTGCCCTGCACCTGGGAATCAATCATTAGAGAGGCATTGAATACAGGACACCCATTGGGATTTGGAAACAGAGAGCGGAATGTGTAACTAGCAGGTAGCCCGTCCATAGTCACCTTAGATATACCTGTGAGGACACTAGCCCTGTCCTGGGCACACTCCTTAGATCCTGACACCCGCTTATTGGACAGGATGCTGTCTATGCTGAAGATTTTGGGTGGGTTCTGGATTTTTTGGTTGGTGGTCTTTAAGCTGCAGTCTGAAGTTCCTGGTCTTGCCACGTCCTGGCTGGTGTCTTCTAAACTTTTCTGTGCCATAGAAGAAATCTGCCTCTCCATCGTACTTTCACTCCCAACACCACAATCCAGATTGCTGGTGGTTTCTTCTTCCTCCTTGTTGAGTAAGAGACCCCTTTCCTGCAAGCTTGCTGCAGATAAGGAAACTGAAGGTGGATGTGATCTGTTCCAATGGACAGAGGTCACTCGTGGGTGATTGGAATCCTGACCTGATGGAACATTGGTGGTTTCCATGGGGTCACCGTCCTCATCAGAAGACATCTCCAGACCAGGGTCCTCATCACACCCAGAGCTTGGATGTCCTTCAGTGGTAGCTTCAGAGAGCTGAGCATCAGGTTCCAGAGCTATCCCACTCATGACTGCATTGTTACCAGCAGGTTCTGGTTCCCTGGCTTCCCCCACCCCACACACGTTGCTGTCACAGGGTTCTGCTTTATATCTTTTATCCTCAGGAGACAATAGGAGTTTGGGCTTCCTCTTCCGGCGTCGGAAATTACCGTTTTCAAACATATCCAGACACTTGGGGTCCAGTGTCCAGTAACTTCCTTTTCCAGGCTTTTCCCTTTCTCTTGGTACTTTAACAAAGCAGTCATTGAGGGACAGATTGTGTCTTATCGAGTTCTGCCAGCCCTGCTTATTGTCATGGTAGAAGGGAAACCTCTCCATAATGAACTGGTAGATGCCATTGAGAGTCACTCTATGGTCAGGAGAGTCCTTAATCGCCATGGCTATCAATGCAATGTAGCTGTAGGGTGGTTTCTGGGGAGGGTCTTGTCTGGAGAGCATATTTGTTGAAGCAAACCCCAGGTTGGACATCAGTGTCCTGTCTCCCCCATACAGGTAGACCAGAGGTGATCTGTGCAATTCACTTGCGATTTGAGGTAGGGGGTTGTTGTAAATTCGGTTCATCGTTCGATCTGCAGGAGAAGGCTGGACACAGTTACAGAAATAAGACGCTGAGATCTGCTGAAGTTCAGGAGAGCTGTGTGAGAGCTGGACCCCACCACTCTCCTCTCCACAGCCTGCTCTCTCTGTGTCCCTTCTTCATAGTTTAAAAATGTTAAATAATTGTTGTACGTTTGCTATTTTATGTTGACTTAGCGCTGGAAAATAAATTGTCTATAATAAACAGTCATCCAATTCTCAGCCCACCCACATTAATTAAAATTTCATTGCAAAGAAAGAGGAGGAAAAAGCCCTCTGCAGTTTGCTCCACGTGTCTTTTCTGGTACCAGCCAATGGGTCTTTAGGTTCTTCTTTCATTTGTTTGTAAAATTAGTCTGTTGATAAGCCTGCCCACCCAAGTTGAATCAAGCTGTGTTTATTTGGAAAAATTTCCGGGCACCCAATACATAAACTCAGTGATCTGCTGTTTGAAATATCACGTCCACCATTCACACTGTTAACTCACAAGAATCGGCAGCACTCAGTAAGCGAAAACAGTATCTGCTTTACATTGCTACAGAGAAACTTGCAAATGTGGCATTTCTCAAAGAGGCTCAAATGTGCTGTGCGTTTTGGGTCTGATTCTGGCCTTTTTAGTCTCTTAGTAATACTAGGTAGAAAGAAAGAAAGGATCTGGCTTTTACAGAGGTGTTAGTATTAAGGATTTACTTTCTAAACAGCGAATAACTGACAAGAGAATTGCTCATTCTAGGCCAGAATTGTAAGAATCTCCAACTCAGCTCATTGTGCTTCAGACTTGGGGTTTCCATGTCAATTCTCTTCACTTCTCTCACTATGAGGTGAACTGCTATAAAGTCACTGTTTAGAGGCTTATTTGCTAAAAACTGATTTGAAGTGACATTTAAGCAAATTGCGAAATAAACAGGCTGTGGCTATAAATGAGTTGCGGATTTTGTTTTCCTCGAATCCTCTATTGTTGCCTAAACTTTGCAATTCAATTTATTACATTTCGTTTTTTAGTGAACGCTTGTAAATAGTCTGGAATTAACCATTTAATTTTATATTTGAGGATGAATTAGGAAAGACAAAAATTCTCCATCTTGGCTATATTTCCAGCTTGATTAGTCTGGACTAAATCCGGTAAAGTCGGGGGTCATTAAACGTTTCGGCCTTTAAACTCTTGGATACTGAGAAAATGGGAATTGTGAGTTTACCCGGAACATGCATTTCTCAACATTGGTGGTGCAGTAGAGAACAACATTTATATAAAATACAGATTAAGAAACAGCACACACAAGAATACAGTTTTTCATTTTACTATGGGTCAAGGGTACTTAACATAACCTATCTTAATGTAGGACCCACCGATATTGGGGTACTGTGGAGTACTGCTGGGCTTTACACCATATGGCCATATAGTGGAACTCAATCCACATATTTGTTTGCTAAGAGAGGTCATTTTAAGTAGATTTGTAAAATGTGAGCTCTTTAACCTGGTTTTGTGTAAACTGTTAAATATATGTTAAAACAACTGCTGTGGTGTGCATTGAATCTAATTCCACAATGTAAGATGCAGCTTTTCAGGAACTGCTGCCCTGTACTATCCTTCTGCGTTTACTTAAGGTAATATATAATCTGCATTATTCATTTCATATATCTCTTATTTTGTCTTTAGGATGCTTCCTGGGGCAGTGGACAGTGAACTGTGACACTATCTGTCTGACATGTGAGAATAGCCTTCGACTGCTGAATCTTCAATAAATAGATACAATTTAATAAATTAAGATTTATATTCTGATTTTATTAGGTAAAACAATGTTATCCGCTCGCTACGCAAAGAGGTTCTTCAGCAGTGCTTGGATTGCAGTTCCTCAAGCTGTTCTGTTTTGCAGTACTGTCTATGTACACATACGCACAATATAATAGTTACTGGTGGTCTGACATCTGGACCATGCTGAAGCTATGTGTGCTTATAAACAAAAAGCATAATAATAATATTGAAATCTGTATGGAGTTAGCCGTTCAGTCCGTTGCACACGAAGCACTCGCTTTTCTGCCGGGCCATTAAATTATACCACCGACTATGGCCAATATTTGGGGGGGAACAAAATAGGATTTTAGTTCCAGCGTAAGGGGACTTGGCTTGGACAAAGAGGGAGTTTTATTATTTGTGAATGCAGGTCTGTAACTTCATAATATGTACTTTCCTGTTTATAGCAAGGAGGGGGATTATAACAACTTTACAAGTGCACACAGCTGGGCAATGATTACATTATCCGTTTGTGATGATTTTTGTGTAAACCTTCAGCTTTCCATACACTCTTACTCATCTAACATTGTAATCAAGGTATTGGTAGCCTCTCTCACTGTAATTGTTGCCCCGGCTCTTGTGACTACGGAGACTTGGGGTCATTTGTCCTGTTTTCCTAGTGGCTCAGTAACACAGCAATGTGTGCTGCATAGTCCACTCCGTGGTCCTACTATCCGGTCAATGACTTTCTATCCACATAGAGGAATTATGTTCATTCAAACACTGCTTGCCCCTTGTGGCCTGGAATCTGTAGGTGGATACATAGTGTCTAGTCATTACATTGTGGGCGGTGGGGCATGGTTACAATGTGTCCCCTAATACTATCTAGTACTTTAGACCTGCTGTACCTGAAACCACCATGATGACCTTGTTAACATCCTCTTAATTTTATGATTATTCCAAATGTGGGGGTTTTAAAAAAGGGATGGATGATTTTTGGGTTAGAATAACACAATATTAAGGGGTACAATAATTAATGTAAGTGGTAACAGTGTGCTGATCCAAAGAGATTTCCAATTGCCATTTTGGAATTAAGGAGGATATTGTTTCCCTGTTTGTGGCAAATTGGAAACGGTTTCAAACTGAGTTTTTTGCCATCTTTTGCATCAGTAACAGAAACAGATGTGTGTGTGATTGAAATTTTCAGCTGCATGCACGATCTCTAATCTCTGTAACACTCCATTTCGTTTCTCAGATCACCACCTCTTATCATTTGTTCTTGAGAGCCCCCTCACCAAACATTCTCAACCTTAGCCTTCTCTCAACCTTACCCTTCTAAACTGAAGGGGAACCTGAATTCTCTTGACCTCCAGCAATTGTCATCTGATGTCCTTTCTTAACTCTCATCCATCCCTACCTTCTCTTGTCTCCCTCTGGCTATCTCCTTATATAATGCCACCCTCACCTCTATCCTGGACACTGCAACCCCGTTCCAAACATAAACCTCAAGGTAGACATGCCTCCAGCCATGGCACACTAAATCAACCGGCTACGGAAAGAGATGCTCCCATTCAGATGAACACTGCTGGAGGAAGTCTCGCGCCTTGTCCAACTTTCTCCATTATAAATGTATCTTGCATTCATACATGCATTTATCCTTGCTAAACAATCTTACTTTTCCTCTCTCATTAGGTTATACTCACAATTCCAGGCGTCTCTTTGATACATTCAACACTCTTCTTCACCCTGCCATGGCCACCAACCATACTAACCTTTCAGCCAATAGCTTTGGATGCTATTTTACTGACATGATTGAGCAGGTAAGGAAAGAATTTGTGCTTCACTCTTCTCTCTCTCATTTAGAACATGCCTTTCCTATCCTTCAGGCCTTCTCCCCAAGTACTGAACAGGAAGTGACTGCGCTTCTACTTTCCTCTCGCCACACCACTTGCCCCAATTCAGTTTAGAATCAGCCTGTTCACTATTATTATTATTATTTTATTATTTATATAGCGCCAGCAGATTCTGTAGCGCTGTACAATGGGTACCAACCTAGATCTGGCAATGGGCAGCAGTAGAAGTGTAATCTCTGCTTTCGAATCTGCAACGTTTGGATTCCTTTATTAGAATATGATTGTCACTCTTTATTGCGTTTTATTTGAGCCCACTACACGATTCGACTGTATGGCAGGACTTTACAGGATATATAATGACTGAGAGCTAATTTCTTCAGCATCTGCCTCCCTGATAATCTAGTGGCCTATACTTGGCGCTGGTCCACTGAAAAGGAAATGGTCCCATTCAAAGAATGAATTACACGCACTCATACTCACAGGGCGTGTGGGTTTTATCATGAAATCTGCAGCTGGTTTTGCTGGATTTATAATATAAATATTGGCAAAACTAAACTGAGTAGGAGGCTCTTGTGATGTCCGCTATAAAAGTCTCCCAGTGAGAGACAATGAAAGGTGTCACAAATGAGATAATTGTAGACTAAAGTGTCCATTAAGTGAATCATTATTTGGGTGTTTGGTGATTCGCTGAAATAGATTGATTTATATCTTTTTTTTTTTTTTTCATTTACAACGGCTTAGGCAAGTTCTCAGAAGATAAAAGTAAGTTTATTTAAATAAATCCTCCGATAAACGAAAAGGGCCCGGGCCAGCTCTTAATGCTAAACTTAATGCTAAACACTCATTTTGCACATTTTTAATTACTTGGACAATATTTTGCTAAAATGTGTGAAAAACAATTCCTCAAAAATCAATGTATTTTTTTGAGAAAATTTGACTATCCTGAAGTTTTATTAAATGTAATAAATGTTCAATAAAGGTAAAGCGTAAATGTGATGGCAGTTGTCTTTAATGTATTAACCATTTTGTCTACTGGCTTCACCAAATAATTTAATAGCAACTGTGAAATCCGTGCCCGAGCTGTTCAGCTCCCTTTCAGGATATTCGGACTGATTTTTGATGGAATGTCTGGATACATTTGTAGAAAGATCAGTAAACTTCAAATGTAATAAACTACCTTAAAAATATTGTCTACGCGGTGGCCCCAGCAGGTCACCTGTTTGAATAATGACACAGGATGTTATGTACGGGGACTTACCTGTATATAACATTTATGTGAAATGTATATATTGGCTGCAGAAATACTCAAACCATCAGGATCACTTTGATTTAGAATGTCACAAATAGGATATTATGCCATTTTACAGAGTTAATTAAAATAAATACTGATTGACATGCATATATAAATTGAATAAACCAGTTTAAAGGGACTATGTGGGATAAAATTGACCCTTAAAAAAAATAATTTTAAGAATAGGAAATAAGTTGCAGATGAGTCACAAGTAGATTGTGTAGAATATTACTAACATTAAATAACTGCCTCACACACTGCACCCCACACACAGACAACCCCTCACACACACTCACTGAACCCATCACACACACTCACTGCACCCCTCACAGATACACACACACACAGCACCCCCACACATATACACACATACACTGTACCCCTTGCACACACACTGCGCTCCTCGCACGCACTGCATCCTACACAATCATACTCTGCTCCCCTCACACACTGCACCCCACACACAGACACTGCACTCGAAGCCCCATCACAGAGTTATAAACTACAAAGCGTGGGACATCTTGTAATCTGTATTATTGCAGGGAGGAAGCCTGTTGTTGGGCTAAGTATGCTTTATGTGTACAGAAAAGGTTTAGTTTTAGAAATGAAGGTGGCTTTTTTACATTGAATGCCGTACGTTATCTAATCTAGCTAGTTTAACTGGCATATGGCCTCAGTACATTATTAAAGATCACTCGAAGCACCTTCACAACTTTTCACAATTGCCAAGCTGACCCTACTCTGAGATTGACCAAGACTGCAGACATTTGTTATGTCACCTCAGCTCTACGCTTGCCCATCAGCAGTCAGGAAGACAACTGGAATGCGTAGCTTCTACTGCGTGGTGTCAGTTGTCAGACTTGTGTGTGTTGTGTATGCACACCTCATGCACAGCTTGAGCTGAGCTCTCTTCCCTTCCGCTAGGGAGCTGAGCCGCAGGCCTAAAGCTAATACTCCTATCAGTCTCGTACCCATACAGCAAACTGCAAAGCTGTTGTCTGTTCTTGGTGAGTGTGTCTTTTACACATGTTTTTAATTTCTCTTTATTTTAATCAACTACTGATGTGTATTTTTTTTACAAGTTTCTTTACAATAAATAAAGTAAACGTATGTCATGTTATTTGCAGTTTTACTTGTCGATACAAAACATCTTATTCCATGCCAGCGAGCTGCCATCTTGAGAAGTTGTCATGTGGTTTACTCCTCCCCAAGGTTTGAAGTTGATTGGTCCTTTTGTGCGTATAAGGAGGAGTATTAGGAGGGCAAAAGGTCAGATGGATGTAATTAGTTATTGGAGGTGCATTGAAGATTCCTGAGGGAGCAAACCGATGCAAAGATACAGAATGCTCAGACTGTGGAGAAGGCCTACAAGGTCCCCGTATAGTAAAATATATAGGTCATTATCACTACAATTTCTTCTCTTGTGGAGATTAGATTATGAATTTGTAAAATTTAGATTGGGATAAAATTGACCCTTAAAAAAATAATTTTAAGAATAGGAAATAATTTTAAGAATAGGAAAAAACAGTCTGTAGTAAATCTATTTTTCAACTTTGCCTTTTTGCGTAATATCTGTAATGTCTGAGTGAGTGAACCCAGCAGACCTTAGTTAGACATTACTCCAAGACTTGTTTGACATTGTTTTACAACTACCCTTGACTAACAAGCAAGGAGCAAATGGTTACTTCTGAAGCCCTTTACAAATACTCTCTGCATGTCTGACTGGCCGCTGATACCTGGACATGACCTCACAGCACCTCCTGTCTTGGCATTGCCACACAGTGAGCCAAGTTATTAATTAATGCATAGCCAGCAGTGATGTCTCTAGTTAGAAGGGCCCTACAAATATAAGAGTTGCAATCAAGTGAGTGACCAATGTGTAATATCCACTACCTGTTTACCGGGAGTAACCAATGTATAATATTCACTATTTACAGAGAGTGACCAATATGTAATATCCACTAACAGTTTACCGGCAGTGACCAATGTGTAATATCCACTATTTACCGGGAGTGGCCAATGTATAATATCCACTATTTACCAAGAGTAACCAATGTATAATATCCACTATTTACTGAGAGTGACCAATGTGTAATATCCACTAACGGTTTACTGGGAGTGACCAATGTATAATATCCATTATTTACCGAGAGTGACCAATGTGTAATATCCACTAACGTTTTACCGAGACTGACCAATGTGTAATATCCCCTAACTGTTTAGTGAGAGTGACCAATGTGTAATAGCCGTTAACTGTTTACCGAGATTGACCAATGTGTAATATCCAGTAACTGTTTACAGAGAGTGACCAATGTGTAACATCCACTAACGGTTTACCAGGAGCGACCAATGTATAATATCCACTATTTACAGAGAGTGACCAATATGTAATATCTACTAACGGTTTACCAAGACCGACCAATGAGTAATATCCACTAACGGTTTACAGAGACAGACCAATGTGTAATATCCACTATTTACCGAAAGTGACCAATGTGTATCCAGGAGTAATTCTTTACCATTCCTCTTTACATAACTGTTTCAGTTCAGCAATTTTCTTGGGATGTCTGGTGTGAATCGCTTTCTTGAGGTCATGCCACAGCATCTTAATCGGGTTGAGGTCAGGACTCTGACTGGGCCACTTCAGAAGGCGTATTTTCTTCTGTTTAAGCCATTCTGTTGTTGATTTACTTCTATGCTTTGGGTCATTGTCCTGTTGCAACACCCATCTTCTGTTGAGCTTCAGCTGGTAGACAGATGGCCTTAAGTTCTCCTGCAAAATGTCTTGATAAACTTGGGAATTCATTTTTCCTTCGATGATAGCAATCCGTCCAGGCCCTGACGCAGCAAAGCAGCCCCAAACCATGATGCCCCCACCACCATACTTCACAGTTGGGATGAGGTTTTGATGTTGGTGTGCTGTGCCTTTTTTTCGCCACACATAGTGTTGTGTGTTTCTTCCAAACAACTCAACTTTGGTTTCATCTGTCCACAGAATATTTTACCGGTACTGCTGTGGAACATCCAGGTGCTCTTGTGCAAACTGTAAACGTGCAGCAATGTTTTGTTTGGACAGCAGTGGCTTCCACTGTGGTATCCTCCCATGAAATGCATTCTTGTTTAGTGTTTTACGTATTGTAGATTTGCTAACAGGGATGTTAGCATTTGCCAGTGACATTTGTAAGTCTTTAGCTGGCACTCTAGGATTCTTCTTCACCTCATTGAGCAGTCTGCGCTGTGCTCTTGCAGTCATCTTTACAGGACAGCCACTCCTAAGGAGAGTAGCAGCAGTGCTGAACTTTCTGCATTTATAGACAATTTGTCTTACCGTGGACTGATAAACAGCAAGGCTTTTGGAGATACTTTTATAACCCTTTCCAGCTTTATGCAAGTCAACAATTCTTAATCGTAGGTCTTCTGAGAGATCTTTTGTGTGAGGCATCATTCACATCAGACAATGCTTCCTGTGAAAAGCAAACCCAGAACTGGTGTGTGTTTTTTATAGGGCAGGGCAGCTGTAACCAACACCTCCAATCTCATCTCATTGATTGGACTTCAGTTGGCTGACATCTCACTCCAATTAGCTCTTGGAGATGTCATTAGTCTAGGGGTTCACATACTTTTTCCACCTGCACTGTGAATGTTTACATGGTGTGTTCAATAAAAACATGGCAACATTTCATTCTTTGTGTGTTATTAGTTTAAGCAGACTGTGATTGTCTATTGTTGTGACTTAGATGATGATCAGATCACATTTTATGGCCAATTTGTGCAGAAATCCATATCATTCCAAAGGGTTCACATACTTTTTCTTGCAACTGTATATATAAAGCAATGGTGAAAGATCTTGTTGATCTGTAGGCAAAATCAAAAATGGAAGTGAATTTCAAAAGATGGAGGCCCAAACCAAGCTCCCAGGCTATACCATGACCTCTACTCTATGAAGGTCATTTGGAAAACCAAGAATTGAGAGACTTGACAAACAAAACTGCAACATTTAACCTTAAACAACCCAAATAACTCGGATAGTTTGGACTGAATTTTGCGATCCCTTGTCAATAATATTTACATATAATAAAACTAGAGAATATTTTTCTCACGTCAGCTTTTTTTACCTAAACTTTGCTATTCCCTTGTCAATTCTCCACAATTCTTCCTAGAGAATCGACCCCAGGTGTTTCTGTGAAACACCCTTAATCTAATGCCAGTAAGTCTATGTAAAATATACAGGAGTGACCCTATAACAAGCCTTGAACCCATTCTTCCTATAAAGGCAACTCTGACCTGTGCTTGTTTATTCAAGCACGTAATGAGTGATAAGTGAAATGAATGCACTAATCAGTGTAAACTGGCAAATAATCTCACAGCAATTAAGGGCTGTAGATTTTATGGGTTTTACGTTAACAAGTATGATAAACATAGCTGTCCATTCTGCCCATGTGGACCAGCTTTCTATAGGACTGAGAGCAAGGGCTATATAGCACCCACAAAGCAACCGCTGCCAGGCAAATTGATTATTCTTTAAATAGTGAATTTTAGTGAACTGAGCCAAAAATAGCTGCACTGGAAAAGGATCAGGTTCCGCTGATTCTTAGAATGTGTGGACCTGCATTATGTGTGGTCTACAAGATATTGCTCTCTCCTGGTGCTCCTCCTTCCTCTCCCAGCACTCTTGCAGTGTTTTTTTTTTCTCTGGCTCTGCTTCTTCTCCCCAACTCCTTTCTGTTGGTGTCCCCGAAGGTTCAGTCCTTGGTCCCCTACTGTTCTCCATCTATACTGCCTCCCTTGGTAAACTCATTAGCTCCTTTGGCTTCCAATATAAATTTCTATGCTAACAACGCAAATCTACCCGTCCTCTCCTGATCTCTCCCCGTCCCTCTTGACTAGTGTCTCTGACTGCCTCTCTGCTATTTCTAACTGGATGGCTGCCCACTTCCTTAAAGTAAACTTAAACAAAACTGCAATTCTGGTCTTTCCTCCCTCATGTGTTGTTACTCCTGTGTCTGTCTGTCTCCAAGTCAACGGTGCTACTATCAGCTCCACCATGCAGGCTCGCTGCCTAGGTGTTCTCTTTGACTCCAACCTCTCCTTCAAGCCTCATGTTCAGTCTATTGACCAAATCCTGTCATTTCCATCTCAAAAACATTGCACGCATCCGCTCCTACTTAACGTCAGATGCGACTAAGGTGTTGGTCCATTCCACTGTCCTTTCTCGCCTTGACTACTGTAATCCGCTTCTCAGTGGTCTTACGTGCTCCCAACTTACGCCGTTACAGTCCATAATGAATGCGGCGGCAAGGCTCATCTTCCTGTCCGCCCGCACCTCCCATGCCTCACCCTTCTGTCAGTCCCTACATTGGCTTCCTATAAAATATAGAGCTCAATTTAAAATTCTGGTTCTTGCTTTCAAATCGCTACATAATGCTGCTCCCACCTATCTATCCTCCCTTATACACAAGTATGTCCCGTCTAGACCCTTACAATCTGCTGAAGACTTACGTCTATCTTCTGTCCGCACTCCCACCTCTGATGCTCGCCTTCAAGATTTCTTGAGGGCTGCACTGTACCTGTGGAACTCGCTTCCCTCATCCGTTAGATGCTCACCCAGTCTCCACTCCTTCAAAAAATCGTTAAAAACACACTTCTTCATAAAAGCGTATCAATTAAATTCGTTAATAGCTCCCGACTGATTCCTCTTCGGCAACTGTCATTAGTCTAATACTATCCTTACCTTTTTGTGTCATTTTACCCCACTCCCTCATGTAAGCTCATTGAGCAGGGCCCTCAACCCCTCTGTTCCTGTGTGTCCAACTTGTCTGGTTACAAATACATCTGTTTGTCCACCCATTGTATAGCGCTGCGAAATTTGATGGCGCTATATAAATGACATAATAATAATAATAATAATAATGTATTTGTTATCTTTTTCTTGTCATAATGTTTATTTAAAGGATTGTCAGTGCAGTAAACTGATATGATGTACATGAAATAGATGATTGAGCAGGAACAGTCACCATAATCCGGGGCAAGTCTGTTCCCAATTCGCTGTTTAGTGGATTTGCCCCGGAAGACCAAAATAACCGTTTTTGTTTTTCTAATGGACTGTTTCCAGCCCAGCTTTATAGCAGTTCCTGGTTTAATTCCAGACAATCCACATTGGGAGTGACTAGAGAATTACACGACTCAGACCAAAAACACAACCTGAGCAAATTCTCATACTGGGCAGTAGGTTAGGTATGTAGGGTATTTAATCCATGGCCAGTCTGGAACAGTTCTTAGTTTATATGTATGTATGTAAATATACTGTGTGTGTGTGGATATATACTGTGCGTGTGGGTATATATACTGTGTGTGTGGATATATACTGTATGTATGTAAATATACTGTGTGTGTGGATATATACTGTGTGTGTGGGTATATACTGTGTGTGTGTGTGTGTGTGTGTGTATGCTGTGTGTGGGTATATACTGTGCGTGTGTGGGTATATATACTGTGTGTGTGTATATGCTGTGTGTGGGTACATACTGTGTTTGAGGGTATATACTGTGTTTGTGTGTATATATACTGTGTGTGTGTGTATATGCTGTGTGTGGGTATATACTGTGCGTGTGTGGATATATACTGTGTGTGTGGGTATATATACTGTGTGTGTGTATATGCTGTGTGTGGGTATATGCTGTGTTTGTGGGTATATATTATGTTTGTGTATATATATTGTGTGTGTGGGTATATACTGTGTGTGTGTGGGTATATACTGTGTGTGTGTGGATATATACTGTGTGTGTGGGTATATATAGTGTGTGTGTATATGCTGTGTGTGGGTGTATACTGTGTTTGTGGATATATACTGTGCGTGTGTGGGTATATACCGTGTGTGTGGATATCTACTGTGTGTGTGTGTGTGGGTATATACTGTGTTTGTGTATATATACTGTGTGTGTGTACTGTGTGTGTGGGGGTATATACTGTGTGTGTGGGTATATACTGTGTGTGTGGATATATACCGTGTGTGTATATATACCGTGTGTGGGTATATACTGTGTGTTTGTGTGTATATACTGTGTGTGTGTGTGTATACTGTGTGTGTAGGTATATACTGTGTGTGTGGATATATACTGTGTGTGTATATTGTGTGTGGGGGGTATACTGTGTGTGGATATATTGTGTGTGTGTGGGGGGGTATACTGTGTGTGGATATATATTGTGTGTGTGTGTATACTGTGTGTGGATATGTGTGTGTATATATACTGTGTGTGTTGCTATATATTGTGTGTGTGTATGTGTATGTATGTATATTGTGCGTGTGTATATGTGTGTGTATGTGTATATGTGTATGTATGTATATATACTCTGTGTGACTGTGTGGAAATATACTGTGTGTATGTATGTATATTGTGCGTGTGTATATATACTATGTGTATTTGTGTATGTATGTATGTATACTGTGTTTGTGGATGTATACTGTGTGTGTAGTTATATACGGTGTGTGGATATATGCTGTGTGTGTAGTTATATACTGTGTGTGTTTGGATTTATACTGTGTGTGTTTGGATTTATACTGTGTGTGTGTGTGTGGATATATACTGTGTGTGTATGTATATATACTGTGTGTGTGGATATATACTGTGTGTGTATGTATATGTACTGTGTGTGTGTGTGTGTGTGTATATATATATATATATATATATATATATATAGATATAGATATATGTATAATATACTGTGTGTATGTATACCGTGTGTGTGGGTATATACTGTGTGTATTTATGGATATATAATGTGTGTGTATATATGTATATTGTGTGTGTGTGTGTTTGTGTGTGTGTATACTGTTTGTGGCTGTATACTGTGTGTGTATACCGTGTGTGGTTATGTACTGTGTGTGGATATATGTATATTGTGTGTGTGTGTGTGTGTATACTGTTTGTGGTTATGTACTGTGTGTGGATGTGTGTGGATGTGTCTCCAGCAGCAATGAAACCAGCAATGAAACCTGCTCTTTTGTGATGCCTTTAGAAAGGGTTATAGCTAAGAAAGTAGAAAATAACTCAGATTTTGCAGGGTGCACAGGTTAACAATCGTAACAAACAGGTGAACTGTTATTCCAATGCAGGCAGGCCCCACTGATGAGGGATGAGTTAACCATACACTGCCTGGCATGCAGCTGGTTAATGGTGACTTGGGGATATAATACCATGGTGACTGCTGCTCAGTTAGAACATTGCCTTATAACAGCTCACATTGCAAGGAAAGGCATTAGTTCACAATATGAACACATTCTTCTAATTCTATTCTCACTATTAATTAATTAATAATCCCAAAGCTGTAACCTTATTATTTATTATATTTAGTCAGGAGGCAGGCTGATTGCTGGATAGCTGAGCATCAGAAATCACAATATATAAAATATGTACATACACACACTGCGATTTCTGGCATTAATGATGCGTTATAGGTAAATTACTGATAATCCCATCGGTATAATGTGAATTCCCTGGATATAACCAAATATATATGGGATATTAGTGCCTGTCTCAATGCCATGTGGAATCAGCGGACAGTATGGCATGACTGCTATTGGACAGCGATTGGTGGAATGATACAGATTATCTCCTTCTTCCAATTATTATTATTTTATTATTTATATAGCGCCATCAGATTCCGTAGCCCTGTACAATGGGTGGACTAACAGACATGTAATTGTAACCAGACAACTGGACGTACAGGAACAGAGAGGTGGAGGGCCCTGCTCAATGATCTTACCAGTTCAGACTATGTGCCTCTGTATCAGGCTACTCTGTAAAGTCAGAATACAAACAGAATTTCACATTTAAGGGCATAGTAGCCGAAATAGGACATTTTCCTCAGTCAGCTTTACTTCCTGTTTGGACTCTTTGAATTCTCACGTTAGTAAATAGCCCTGTGTCAGAAGTTTCAACTTCGGCTTTTTGTTACCTTGAATTTGAGAGTCAATTTAAAAATAGTGAACAGATCTGTTTTACCCCCTCCCTCCACCCCCACCCACCAGGCTTATATTGGTATCTAGAGAGGGCATATCTATTATACAGCAATGTACACATAATATCACTATATATCTATTATACAGCAATGTACACATACTATCATTATATATCCACTATCAGGGGCGGACTGAGAGCCTTTGGGGCCCCCGGGCAAAATTAGATCCCAGGCCCTTTGAAGGCCAAATATATGTGCATTTTAATAAATGTTAAATATAATTCATAATACGGCATTCCTTTGGATGTGTGTATTGTGAAGACCCGTGTATCAATGCATGTTTGTATTTGAGTCTGTGTGAATGCACTTGTGCATGTCTGGATGACTACATGTGCTTTTTTGTATATAGTGTCTGTGTGAATGCATATGTGACAGGTGACAGAGTGTGTGAGGGAGAAGGTGACAGGTGGAAGAGTGTGGGAGGTTGTGACAGGTGGCAGAGTGAGGGGGTACCTGGTGGCAGAGTGAGGGAGGGAGGGGTTGAGTGGTGGCAGAGTGAGGGGGAGACACAGTGAGTGGGGGTGACTGGTGACAGAGTGAGGGAGTGGGTGACTAGTGACAGTGGGGGAGGGGACTGACTAGTGACAGTGAGGGGGGGGGGAGGGGGTGGTTGGTGCCTACCTGCATCTCTGCTCCCTCTTCTCTCCCCGGCTGCTGCTCCTTCCCCTCGCTGGGCTCTGTGTGAGAGGAGTAAACAGGAAGTGATGTCACTTCCTGGCCCCGCCTCTCCCATCACACAGAGCCGCATGGGAGAGGAAGCCGGAGACCTGGCAGGGAGGAGGTGAAGCTGCCAGGTCTCCATGGGGGGGGGAGGTGTGACTAGCAGAGCGGTAGGTTGTGGGGCCCCGTGCTGCATCAGGGGCCCCACAACCTATCAATTAAAAAGTTTTATTTTATTATTTTTTGCTGTTCCAGTTGGAGAGATCTCTGATCTCTCCAGCTGGAACAAGGCTGTGCTGCCGGGCCCCTGACTGCCTCGGGCCCTCGGTCCATGACCGAAGTGCCCGAGTGGTCAGTCCGCCCCTGTCCACTATACAGCAATGTACACATAATATCACTTGGTAGATACATATCATACAGCAACAAAACATGCAATATACAACAAAGCATTGAATATCCAGATTAATATAATATAGTCACAGGACACTGAATATCCAGATTAATATAACATAGTCACTGGACACTGAATATCTAAATTAATATATAATATGTACAGTCAGTGGACACTGAATATCCAGATTAATATAATATATACAGTCAGTGGACACTGAATATCCAGATTAATATAATATGTACAGTCACCGGAAACTGAATATCCAGATTAATATAATATATATAGTCAGTGGACAATGACTATCCAGATTAATCTAATATATACAGTCAGTGGACATTGAATATCCAGATTAATACAACATATATAGTCAGTGGACAATAAGTATCCAGATTAATATATTATAATATAATATATACAGTCAGTGGACAATGAATATCCAGATTAATCTAATATATACAGTTAGTGCACAATCAATATCCAGAATAATGTAATATCTACAGTCAGTGGACAATGAACATCTAGATTAATATAATATATACAGTCAGTGGACAATGAATATCCAGATTAATATATATAGTCAGTGGACAATAAGTATCCAGATTAGTATATTATAATATATACAGTCAGTGGACAATGAATATCCAGATTAATATAATATATACAGTCAGTGGACACTGAATATCCAGATTAATATAATATGTACAGTCACCGGAAACTGAATATCCAGATTAATATAATATATATAGTCAGTGGACAATGACTATCCAGATTAATACAACATGTATAGTCAGTGGACAATAAGTATCCAGATTAATATATTATAATATAATATATACAGTCAGTGGACAATGAATATCCAGATTAATCTAATATATACAGTTAGTGCACAATCAATATCCAGAATAATGTAATATCTACAGTCAGTGGACAATGAACATCTAGATTAATATAATATATACAGTCAGTGGACAATGAATATCCAGATTAATATATATAGTCAGTGGACAATAAGTATCCAGATTAGTATATTATAATATATACAGTCAGTGGACAATGAATATCCAGATTAATATAATATGTACGGTCACCGGAAACTGAATATCCAGATTAATATAATATGTACAGTCACCGGAAACTGAATATCCAGATTAATATAATATATATAGTCAGTGGACAATGACTATCCAGATTAATCTAATATATACAGTCAGTGGACAATGAATATCCAGATTAATATAATATATACGGTCACCGGAAACTGAATATCAGATTAATATAATGCTGATCACGGAAACTGAATATCGAATTAATATATATATATAGTCAGTAGTTAATGACTATCGAATTAATTGCTGTAGTCACTGTACACTGAATATCTAAATTAATATATAAATGTACAGTCACTGGACACTGAATATCTAGGTAATATAATATAGTCACAGGAAACTGAATACCCAGATTAATATAATATATACAGTCAGTGGACATTGAATATCTAGATTAATATAATATTTATAGTCACAGGAAACTGAATATCTAGATTAATATTATATATAGTCAATGGACAATAAATATCTAGATTAATAGAATACGTACAGTCAGTGGACAGTGAATATACAGATTAATATAATATATACAGTCAGTGCACAATGAATATCCAGAATAATGTAATATCTACAGTCAGTGGACAATGAATATCTAGATTAATATAATATATACAGTCAGTGGACAATGAATATCCAGATTAATATAATATATATAGTCAGTGGACAATAAGTATCCAGATTAATATATTATAATATAAATACAGTCAGTGGACAATTAATATCTAGTTTAATATAATATATACAGTCAGTGGACACTGAATATCCAGATTAATATATAATATGTACAGTCACCAGAAACTGAATATCCAGATTAATATAATATATATAGTCAGTGGACAATGACTATCCAGATTAATATAATATATACAGTCAATGGACAATAATTATTTCCAGATTAATATAATATGTACAGTCAGTGGACAATGAATATCCAGATTAATATAATATAGTCACTGGACACTGAATATCTAAATATATTATATGTACAGTCACTGGACACTGAATATCTAGATTAATATAATATAGTCACAGGACACTGAATACCCAGATTAATATAATATATATATATATAGCCAGTGGATATTGAATATCTAGATTAATATAATATGTACAGTCAGTGTACAATGAATATCTAGATTAATATAATATAGACAATCAGTGGACACTGAATATCCAAATTAATATAATATATACAGTCAGTGGACAATGAATATCCAGATTAATATATATAGTCAGTGGACAATAAGTATCCAGATTAGTATATTATAATATATACAGTCAGTGGACAATGAATATCCAGATTAATATAATATATACAGTCAGTGGACACTGAATATCCAGATTAATATAATATGTACAGTCACCGGAAACTGAATATCCAGATTAATATAATATATATAGTCAGTGGACAATGACTATCCAGATTAATACAACATGTATAGTCAGTGGACAATAAGTATCCAGATTAATATATTATAATATAATATATACAGTCAGTGGACAATGAATATCCAGATTAATCTAATATATACAGTTAGTGCACAATCAATATCCAGAATAATGTAATATCTACAGTCAGTGGACAATGAACATCTAGATTAATATAATATATACAGTCAGTGGACAATGAATATCCAGATTAATATATATAGTCAGTGGACAATAAGTATCCAGATTAGTATATTATAATATATACAGTCAGTGGACAATGAATATCCAGATTAATATAATATGTACGGTCACCGGAAACTGAATATCCAGATTAATATAATATGTACAGTCACCGGAAACTGAATATCCAGATTAATATAATATATATATAGTCAGTGGACAATGACTATCCAGATTAATCTAATATATACAGTCAGTGGACAATGAATATCCAGATTAATATAATATGTACGGTCACCGGAAACTGAATATCCAGATTAATATAATATGTACAGTCACCGGAAACTGAATATCCAGATTAATATAATATATATAGTCAGTGGACAATGACTATCCAGATTAATTTAACATAGTCACTGTACACTGAATATCTAAATTAATATATAAAATGTACAGTCACTGGACACTGAATATCTAGATTAATATAATATAGTCACAGGAAACTGAATACCCAGATTAATATAATATATACAGTCAGTGGACATTGAATATCTAGATTAATATAATATTTATAGTCACAGGAAACTGAATATCTAGATTAATATTATATATAGTCAATGGACAATAAATATCTAGATTAATAGAATACGTACAGTCAGTGGACAGTGAATATACAGATTAATATAATATATACAGTCAGTGCACAATGAATATCCAGAATAATGTAATATCTACAGTCAGTGGACAATGAATATCTAGATTAATATAATATATACAGTCAGTGGACAATGAATATCCAGATTAATATAATATATATAGTCAGTGGACAATAAGTATCCAGATTAATATATTATAATATAAATACAGTCAGTGGACAATTAATATCTAGTTTAATATAATATATACAGTCAGTGGACACTGAATATCCAGATTAATATATAATATGTACAGTCACCAGAAACTGAATATCCAGATTAATATAATATATATAGTCAGTGGACAATGACTATCCAGATTAATATAATATATACAGTCAATGGACAATAATTATTTCCAGATTAATATAATATGTACAGTCAGTGGACAATGAATATCCAGATTAATATAATATAGTCACTGGACACTGAATATCTAAATATATTATATGTACAGTCACTGGACACTGAATATCTAGATTAATATAATATAGTCACAGGACACTGAATACCCAGATTAATATAATATATATATATATAGCCAGTGGATATTGAATATCTAGATTAATATAATATGTACAGTCAGTGTACAATGAATATCTAGATTAATATAATATAGACAATCAGTGGACACTGAATATCCAAATTAATATAATATATACAGTCAGTGGACAATGAATATCCAGATTAATATAATATAGTCACTGGACACTGAATATCTAGATTAATATATAATATGTACAGTCACAGGACACTGAATATCTAGATTAATATAATATATACTGTCAGTGGACATTGAATATCAAGATTAATATAATATGTACAGTCAGTGGACATTGAATATCTAGATTAATATAATATAGACAATCAGTGGACACGGAATATCCAAATTAATATAATATATACAGTCAGTGGACAATGAATATCCAGATTAATCTAATATATACAGTTAGTGCACAATCAATATCCAGAATAATGTAATATGTAAAATCAGTGGACAATGGATATCTAGATTAATATAATATATACAGTCAGTGGACATTGAATATCCAGATTAATATAATCTAATATATGTACAGTCAGTGGGCAATGAATATCTAGATTATTATAATATATATACAGTCAGTGGACATTGAATATATAGATTAATATAATATATACAGTCAGTGGACAATGGATATCTAGATTAATATAATGTATACAGTCAATGGACAATGAATATCCAGATTAATATAATATATGTACAGTCAGTGGACAATGAATATTCAGATTGTTGTAATATATATAATAAATAGTCAGTGGACAATGAATATCTAGATTAGTATAATATATACATTCAGTGGACAATGAATATCCAGATTAATATAAATTATACAGTCAGTGGACAATAAATATCTAGATTAATATAATATGTACAGTCAGTGGACATTGAATATCTAGATTAATATAATATGTACAGTCAATGGACAATGAATATCCAGATTAATATAATGTAATATAATATATGTACAGTCAGTGGACAATAAATATTCAGATCGATGTAATATATATAATATATAGTCAGTGGACAATGAATATCTCGATTAGTATAATATGTACAGTCAGTGGACTATGAATATCTAGATTAATATATATACAGTCAGTGGACAATGAATATCCAGAATAATGTAATATATACAGTCAGTGGACAATGAATATTCGGATTGATAATATACATATAGTCAGTGGACAATAAATATAATAGCCAGTTTAGAGATTTTAGGACAAAATGTGTGATATACAATTTTTTTTATTTTTAATTTTTTTTTACAAATTCTCCACATTTCACACTGTTTCGTGAATAAACCATTTAAAGTTTGTTCAGCAGGTTAATTCGCATCAATCTCCACGGCTATTTTCTAAAGAGAATTTTAAATTGAAATAGAGAAAAGCCGAACTGAGAGCATAGCCGGCAACCCATGTTTCGAATTCGGTTACTTTGACCTTAAATGTGACAATCGCTTTAAATTCTCACTTTATTGAATAGCCCTGTCTCCACTCACAATTGATGCATTTAGAAAAGTAGATTTTTAATTAATACCATTGGCAGACAGACAAACAGACAGACAATCGTTTTATACAATTTTAGCAGCTGTGACGGTTTTCCATTCATTCTGCAATAAATAATGCAGATTAGAGATAATCACTGTTATTTTATTTATACACTGCCACCATATCTATTAGATTATAAACTCAGTTGAACAGACCCCTTAAAGTCACATGTCGTTTGTTGCAGTTATTTCAGTCACCCTTGTACTGCGCTCTGGATTATGTTGCCTTTTTAACAGGAATCATAGCAATGGGCAGACAGAACATACCAATCACTTGTAACATGAATAATTCACACACACACAGCGTAGAGAGCCCTGCCCCGAAGAGCTTACACTCTATATAGCGCACGCCTTGACATTACTGTGTTACTCTACTGCCCCCAGCTTCCACAAATCTCAGCCAGCCATAGGTTAGTAAACTATTCTGGGAGTTGTAGTACAGGGCTGGTAAGGTCTCCTGTAAAGTTTAGGCCTGTAACAGTTTATTTCAGGGGTTGCCCCCTCCCCTCCTGGTTTATTTGAATAAAATCAATATATTGTTTGCAATCCATGGAATGACAGGAGGACCGTTCTAATATTAGATGTCACACTGTAGCCATCTCACTATATCTGTGTAATTTGTATTTCGTTATAGTCAATGTATCAATAATAAATACAAACTGACATATCACTACGCACACACTGTGTACCATGACTGCTCCCTGAATATCTTATTATTACCCTTTCTAATCACAATATTGCATGTTCACAATAAGTGCTGTTATATAATGGAACACACAGAATAAGGGTTTCTCGTTGGCTGCGATCCCCTTAGAGAGGATTTAGACATGTTGCACATATTACATACATGTACAGTGAAACCGTGTTAAATATCACTATCCGGTCTGTCCAGGGGGAGATTAACAGCTTTATCACTTTACTGCGAGTAATCCTGGACAACATTCTAAATTGTAAATATGGAGCAGTCACCATGGCAACCAATAGAATGTTCCCGCTGATTGCGCTACTTTTAGAACGTTGTCCCAGAATGTTGTTTAAAATGAATTCTCGTTACACCCAGACAGGTGGCCTTACCCAACTGTGCAGATGGGGTTCTATTAACCCATTCAGGGCTCATACAACGAATATACACAGTGACTGACAGATATCTTCAGAAAAGGCAATTCCTTAATAACCCAGAAATATATCACAATAATCTATAGGATGCTAAACGCAATATCTACACCGCTTGTCCGTGGAAATCATTGAATTAATAAGAAATAAACAGAGTTTAGCCATTCAAACATATATGAAACCATTTGATTAGAAATAGATCCGTTTTCCAGAAAATGAAAGATTTTATTCGTTGAACACACTCACCTGACCTCTCTGCCTTGTATCCATCACATTACATTGTGTATTGAATGCTGTATTTAAAGCCACAACTCGGAGCAAATCATTGTTTCAATTTATATCCAAATATAGAGCAATTCACTCCCACGGTGTTAGTCCGCTTCCTCGTACTGACAGATGGACCCTGGATCTACCTTATTCACCAGTGTTATTATTGGACTGATTAAACCATCACACTATTACTAAACAGATTGAAAGTAGGACAAATTAATAATATTTATCATTTTATTATATAATAAAACGAAAGCATCTTTCTCCATAGGTTAGTACACATTCTATCATTCAGATAACTCTGCAAAGTGATCCAATGTGTATATAAATTATATCATAATATTGAGAACTTAGAGAAATAATTCTCCACCACCTTAGTGTGTATTACATGAGGCTGTTGTGCGTTTGTTTATTTATTTACATCAATATTGTTTGTTAATTAATTTGTATCGAATGCCATTAAACAATAACGATACAGTTGATACGAATTGTGTTTATTAAGATGTCAGATCGTTTGAAATAATTTAACCAAAAGAACACACAGAGTTGTAACAATATTTAAGCTGTAACACAGCGACTGTTTATTGTAAAATACAAATAGTTGGGACCACAAACACAACGAATAACACGAACAGAAGTGGCCAGGAATGCTCAGAAACAGACTGCACAATTACAACGAAAGAATTAACATTTCTGTCCCACCGAAAGAGGGAAAAAATAAATAATCTCATTTATGAATAGGAAAAAAATGGAAAATATAAACTGTGTAAGAAATCCTATCGCTAATATTTATACAGAAGGATGAATAAAGCACTATGTTGTTTGTTTGTTTTCAGTTTGGCAATCAGAAACTTGCTGGCAACAATTAAACAATAAATCCAGTGAACTCAACTTTAAATATTATAATTAATGATTCTGAATTTCAGCCTGTTTCACACAATTTACAGAAAACAATATGAGAAATGTATAGTATTTTTTCACATCACACGGTCTGTAACGGTTGGTCCTTACTTTTCATTCCAGATCACACATTTTGGCACAGATCTGACGATTTTATTTATTTATTTATTTTGTATATTTTATGGCTAGTTTTTTTTTTAATTAAATAATCTTCATTTTATTCAAGTACGTCTTACTTGTTAAACATGATATAGCTATCTGTATAATATATATTTTATATATTTACCAAAGTCAATGGCTTGCCAGCTGTTCCTTTGTTCTTAAGAAGAACCCTTTGGTTTTGTTTGTAACTGTTTAAGGTGTTTTTTATTGTCACTTAAGCCAGTCCGAACAAGCTGGTTTACGTCAATACTTAGTGCAGTCATAAGGGTAGGGGGTGGCATGTCGGTATATGGAGGGAGACGATCTATAGGGTATCTGACAGCTGTTGTTACCGCTCACCTGATGCTCACTGAGGGCTGAGCTTTCAATGCCCAGGCGCTGAGAGTTAAACATTTCTCTGACATTTGTGAAAGTCGGTTGCTGGGACCCAAAGGTGTGCCCAGAGAGGTGGCTGAGGTCTGCACTGTGGTTCAGGTACCAGGAGGCAGCCTGTCCAGTGGACCCACTCTGCTGGTGGTGGCTGGAGGTTAGGACACTATCCTGGTTTGTGCCAAGGCTCATGGAATTTAATGGGGACGTTGTACCATTGTGATGGTCTGAGATGGTCTCTTCCAGTGAGGTGGGGACACACATGTGGCTTGGCCTGTCACCTGTGTATAGGCTCATGGCTCTCATACTGCACTGATAGCTCCCACTAGTGTCCATTCCTTGGGTGCACGCCTGGCTGTACAGAGAGGGCTGAGTCTGAGCATAGTTTATAGGCAATGAGGGCACCATGCCCGTCCTGCAAGGTACAGCTGGCACAGGGCTGATCTCCCCATGAGGAGAAGTCCTTAAGGTCATGATGTTCTCCACACTGAACCCTGAGAGCCCGTTGCTGGCTGGGTGGTGCTCAGGGAGGGAGCTCTCTGTGGACACCGATGGAGTAGATGCCACACTCCTAGGACTGTCCTGCATGGCACTGCCACCCCCAGGGCTGACGTTTTCCACCTTGGTAATCACCGGCAGCTCGGGGGATTCGCTCTTGATGACGATCTTCTTCTCGTGGCCGAGGTCCTTGGCCATGTCCATGCTGGAGATGGAGCTTTGAAGCTTGCCCTGGTCCTTGATGTGCCTTTCATCCTTGTCTTTGCAGACATCCTTCTTCTTGAACCTCCTCCTCCTCCTGAGGAAGCTGCCATTCTCGAACATGTTGTAGGAGTCAGGGTCCAGGGTCCAGTAGCTGCCTTTGCCAGGTTTCTTATCGTCCCTGGGCACCTTGACAAAGCACTCATTGAGGGACAGGTTATGCCTGATGCTGTTCTGCCAACCCTGCTTGTTCTCTCGGTAAAAAGGAAATCGATCCATAATGAATTGATAAATCCCATTTAGGGTGATCTTCTTCTCAGGGGCGTTCTGAATGGCCATGGTGATGAGTGCAATGTAACTGTAGGGGGGTTTCACCAGGTCCTTGGGTGCTGTTGGCTGGTGGTGGTGGTAGGGTCCATAGGACCTTCCCATCCCTGGAGTGTACTGCTCGTGGCCAGGGTAAACACTCATTGGGGTGGCCATGCTGCTGTAAGTCCCAGCTGTTCTGTAGTAGTTCTGCTCACTCAGGTAGGGCACAACCCCCAGAGCATTGGGGTCAGCCACAGAGTAGCGAGCTTGCATCATTGGGGCTGAGGAAGGAGACTGCCACTCCACAGAGGCGAAGGTGACAGAGTGCAAGCTTCCCCCTGAGGGAGGAGAGGTAGACTCAATCACAATCACTCTGTCCAGTCCTCAGCTATACTTCTGCATCCTCTTGTCCAGCAAACTCTCACTCAATAAAACTCAGGCCCAGGACACCAAAGGGCACATAGACCAGGAAGGCCAGAGAATTGTGGCTGCAGTTCCAGCTCCCCTGGTCTCTCCAATGCAGCCTTCTATCCCAGCTAGGCAGAACTTCCTAAACTTTTTTTTCAGTGAGCTTAGCTTTTACTGCCCACAGCCCACACCCCCTTCCCAAACTTTCATCCAATCTGGAGCCAGTATGATTATCTGTTAGCCAATCAGCAGGCAGACACTGCTTCCCCAGAACCCTACACATGTTGTGAAAGTACTCTTTTTTTTTTTCCTCACTTTTTTCCTTTTTTTTTTCTCTTTTCCAAATATGGTGTGTTTAAACTTTAAGGAGCAAAACGAGATTTAAACTCCCAGTCCAGAATCCCAGCATATATTGTAGCAAGTGTTATTATACAGTGAGGGGAGCTGAATACACAGCTAGTGGAATCAAACAATTACAAGTAATGAAAGCCTTGTTTGTGTTATTTTGTTATTATGTTACAGGCTCAGTAATATTCCAATAATATTAATATCGTTACATTCATTCATCACAAAGAAAGATCTTTAAATTGGCTGGATCTTCTGCTAGTGGTATTTACATTATGATAAAGCCAGCGTATTGTGGAACATTTTCACACTTTAATTTATAAAATATCAATTTCTTTTGTATTTTTTCTAGAAACATGGTCCTGGCATTTCCTCGTTCGTAGTGTTTGTGTTTTAATACTGATCTCTTCCAGGTATAGAGGAGTTTCTTAATTTATTTATAAAATGAGAATTTGGGATGTGAGCATGTTGACAGATTTAGATCGATCTAACTATGTGTATGGCGAATCCAATGATTACAATGTGAGATAAATTGTATTGTGTCCTTTTTATCACATACTGATTAGAAATAGCTATATATAATCCTCCAATTTAACCTTGCTATTTTATAACGTTTAATGGTTTTCGGATTTTATTAGCAGTACTGTTAAAAGAATGTTATTAAATAAAATAAAAATTAAACTGTTCCTTGTATGAATCGCATAGAGAGCATTATCATCTAATGCCCTCATTAGGGCTAATCAGAGTGGGTTAATTAGTGCACAGAGCAAGCTGGCCTACTGGTAATTAATTTATTCAGAATAGTTAGCATTGGCTCAGCAAGTACTTGATAAGATTGTAACAAGAGAGGGGTAAATAAATACAAACCCCCAACTACAGAGCCATGGAAGCTACAGGGGTCCTACTTGGCTCAAACGTGTTTTTTGTGCATTTTTAACATTTTAGTTTAATGGGGAAAATATACAGATAAAAGTCTGTGTTTATAAATAGATATACACCCCAATATAATTTAGAATAAATATCAGTTTGATGGAAAAGGTCTATGTAAGTGTGTGGGGATAATTAACTAAACATCAAATCGAAGTAAATGGATAATCTAATGACACAGTGTGATAATATACCCAGGCTGTACCTCTAGCTGGATTAGAGAACGTTCCCATATCTGCTGCTTCTAACTTTCACTGCAACTCCTTAGATAATTGAAAGAGGAAAGTTAAGTAAATTAGTGGATAAAATAAAATGGTAAAACCTTGATATTACAGTTATATATTCTGAAGCAAATAAATACAAAGTCAAATTATATATATTTTTAATTTCATTTCCGTTATTGATATTTCACAAACAATAACACAAGGAATTCTGCAAATATTGCAACTAAATTTCACTTCAAACTAATAATAAAAAAATAAACAAAAATTTAAAAAAATCAATAAATGGTCATGTATTGTGTAGCTCTGTATAATATATGTTTATTTTTATTTAACACGTGACGATTTCCAGTTTGGGCTGAGCAGTGGGGATGGATCTCTCTGTGGATTTGCACAGATTTTACTATGAAATTAAACAACTGCAGTTTATCGTTATAATTACTAATATTCTGCACAGATTTTTTTAGATGCTAATTTTTACTTTTTAAGTTAGGAAATACAATCTTATGATAAAACAATAGTTTTAGATACATGTGTGATATGGATACATATTGGATTCGATAAAAATACAGATTTTACAGAAAAAAAAGTGTAAATATTGAGATGATTAATTAGAAAATATTAATATATGCTGAGGTTTTCTACTGGAAGTTGCTGGGGTCGAGAGATAATTTTTGCATATTTTTCCCCATTTAATTAAATTAAAAAAAACAATTACAATCAATACTTTCATTATATACATTTTATTAAATATACAACTTTAGTTGCTATACGTGTGTGTGAATTTTGCAGTCAGAATTCCTGTCTTTTTAATTTGAATAATAGTTACAAGTTTAATTAATTTAAAATGTTATTAAACTAATACGAATTATTATGAACCTAAAACTCCCCCAAACTAGTTATATTTTAAAATCAGTTTGCAAAATGTTATTTTGGTCTAAGACAAAAAAGGAACCCTGTATATTTTACAATTATTATTATTTTTATTATTATTATAATTATTAGCGTATTTGAAAGTTTAGAATATTTGGATATTATTTTAGGAGGTCCTAATTTCTGTATAATATTCACATTAAACTCATTGAAACTGAACATATAAAATATTGGATCTTGAATAATTTGAACTTACTGTGATCCTTTATATATAGTAAAGTTGGGAAAAGCTTCGGGGCTCCCAGATTCACAGTTTTTCTTGAAGACATTCCAGCATTTTTACTGTGGATCGTGCGCCCCCTTCAGGCACCTAGAGAAAGTACTGATAAAATGTGGCTCACATTCCATTTCGTTAATAAGGAAGCTGCTGCCATCTAGTGGCCCTTGTTGCAAATACCTCTAGAAATTGTGTTTTTGTTTAGAAACCTATAGCATTATTATTATTATTATTCCTATTATAAAAACGATTAATACAAGTTTAAAACAAATTGTGATGTAATTTCGATGTGGACATTTTATCTATTTTGACGGGGTTTTCTTTTATTGGATTTCATTTATTGCTGTGCTAATATTTATCTTATTGGAATTAGAACCTGCTGTCATTCACCTTCAATATGAGGTCCCTCTATTATTTCTGGTGGTGAAGGGGAGGACGAAGATCAGGGAAAGCAGTCATACCATGTACATGCCAATATGGCCAGAGCCTGCTATACGTGGTATTACCAGTAGTTTAACTGTATTACACCATGATAGTGCTTTCTGTCTGTTTTACAGGTTAATCAGGATGTACATTATTATTTTATTATTTATATAGCACCAGCAAGTTCCATAGCGCTGTACAATGGATGGACTAACAGACACCTAATTGTAACCAGAGAAATAGGTGCACAGGAACAGAGGGGTTGAGTGCCCTGTTTAATGAGCTTACATTCTAGAGGGAGTGGGGTTGCTTATATTAACTAAGCATTATTGGTGTGGTTATTTGTGTATTTTGTTATTTGCTTTGTTTATTTTATTTGCTTTATTTTGTGGTGTCTTGTGAGTGGTTTTAGACATCAGAGGAGCAGAACCTACACCTATACTAGCGCCAATCCACTGATTCTCCACTGTAGCAGACTCCATTCTTTTATGTTCGGTTGTCTGTTCCCCCTTGTTCGTCTCCTGAAAGACTTGTGTGTTGTCCCTGGTTATGCCCCAGTGAACACTGACCTCTACTGGCTGTTAACCACAAATTAACGACTTTACTCACCTTTGCTTGAGTGCTTTTCCTGGGTGGCCACCATTTGTATAACTGAACGCACGTAGTCTAGTACATGGTGGCCATTTTGTCTCCCGAATGCAGGCAGCGGTACTTGGTCATCGAACGCCTGGAACTGTTTTTCGGCCTCGCGTTTCCGTGAACCCGGGCAGATAGAATCTACCGAACAGGGGGAGCATTCACTCCATAGCAGCCAGGGTGAGCATTCGTCGCTGTTCGCACAGGACCTCCCAAAAGCCGGTCGGTCAAAACTGTGTTCGACAATAACTTTCATTCTACCAAACCAATCTGAGTGCTTTTTGCATCTGTTGTGCTCTCAGATCGGGGCTGTTCGGGAATATTTTGTGGGGTTCATGTACTGTTTTTATGTATTTTTTGGGGTATATTAAAATATCTGTAAGTTTCTGTATTTGAGAGATAATTCAGTTATATTAATTGGAGCTCGATTATCTCTCAAACACAGAGGCTCTTGGAAAAGAAAACCTTGTATTCTTGACTTGGAAACCCCATGCTAGGGGCAATGCATAAAAGCCATGTGTGGCAGAAATAAAGTCAGTTGTTCTCCCAGAACTGTGTGTCGCCCAGTTGCTGGGGAGGAGGTGGGCTATTTACTTGGTATTTTCTAGTTTCTGATTCTATTCTTGGTGATCCCTGCCAGGGTTAGAGCTCCGCTACATCGACTGTCTTTGCGGCTGGTGTTTGTTTCAATATAATTCCTGTACCTTTACATTGAACTGAGTCATGAGCTACAACAATGTGTATTGAGTGTGTAATGGCAAAATAGCATTAAACCACAATGTTCACTCCTCTATCACGTGAAGATCTGTAAATTCATCCCATTCTCTTCCTCCCTTGTTTTCTCTCCTCCATTGCAGTCCTCGTCTTCTTTTATTCTCTCATTACCTTCACCAGTGTTTGACATTATATAGAATAACAGATTACCATCACGATTAGTCAGCTGTCAGTTACTCTTGCAGCAAAGCATCATGGGGGTTGTAGTTCTACAACATCTGGGATCTACCTCTTGGGCACCCCTGCTGTAGATATTAGAATTAACTGATCACGTACCTGATTTATTGCTTTTTCTTTGTTTGTGTGCTGTGCAGAAAAAAAGTAAGCTTTGGCAAATCTATTTATTACTAAATGTATGTGTTATTGTATTACTCAGTTTAAATATTTTAAAATTCTATCAATATCAGATATAGAAAAGACTAACTAAAGCCAGAGACCAGAATCTAAAATAGAAGTAACTATTATAGGGCTTCTTTTGTTTTAACATATATAATTTTTTTTACAATCTTTATTTTTCATGACAAAAAAAAATAAACAGAATAACAGAGAAAAATAACACAGTTGCACATATATGAATAAACAGTTTTTATAACAGTTAAATATTACATTTCAGTATTAAGCAGGAGAGTAATCAATACATACAACAATCCCATGTGCACTGTAAGCACCGAAGGAGTTAAAACAGATCGAGTTCTCCATTTGGGTTGAAAAGATAATTATGCACCAGTGACCAAGAACAGGAATCCCAAATGAGAACCTTTCTGAGACATACACAAACAGCACAGCACAGCAACACGAAGTGGGAAATGAAAACCAAATTAAAGGACAGAAAAAAAAGACAAGTGAAAAGAGGGAAAGACTAGAAGAATATAGGGGAGAATGAAGATAGTGGGTAGGACAGGGGCAGGAAGCTGGGTAAGGGATGGGAGTCATGTCTAGGAAGAGCTGGACACGCGTGTCATCAGGATAATTAAGATTGTGGTTCTGTATAATCAAACCCGGGGACTCGGAAATCGAAATATTTATAATTTGTCTTCTATAAATGAGCTGTAAGTTCTTTCCTGGTTATTTTTTAAACTTTCTAAGAATTATGTGGGGCTTTTGAAAGGATAGAATTAAGCAATGTGACCTCGCGTTTACAGATATAAATATAACTATTATCACACACAAAACATGACAAAAGGAATAGTTCATTTTTACAAAATATATTTCATCAAATACTATGCTGTACATTTCAGTTTTCCTTTTGTTTTAATGTTTCCTTGTGAAAATTACTGGACAGCAAAATACGTTTTGTAGATTGACTGATTCCATGGGTAAATAAAGAACGGATTGGGAGGACAAGCTGAGTCGAAAACACATACATCCAATTTTATATGAAAGGTGCAGCCAGGTTGGGAGTCTCTGAAATGTGGGAATAAACTGGAAAGCTGTTGGCAAACTAATATACACCATCGGAAGAAATACCTTCTTTCAATGAGTGACAAAGAGGATCTCTTCATTAAACTGTGGCTATCGTAATGTAGACAATAAGAGCCAATTCTATTCTCAGCTCCACATATGCTGGCCTACAATCTGACATACCCAGATTTGTAAAGAATCATGCTTAACTTAGCTTTTTTTTCTTAAATTTACTTTATTGTAATATGTTTTATCAAATTTAAGATAATTTATTTTACATTTATGTTATGAACAAGTCCTTATTTTTTGTTTTCAGAACATGAGCAGTTCTCCCCGCTGTGAAAGAAAACACAATGCCAGCTGGACATACTGTGAGTCACAGCCGTTTCATTTTGGTGTGAGGTCTGTATTGTCAGTGGAAAACATTTGTCAATCACATGTTCATCACAGATAAGAAGAGCCCCCAGCAAAACAATTTATAGTCAAATCTAATAACTTAACGGACGTACCCTGAATATATCTACCACGAAAACCTCTGTAAACTTTATTTATAGCGCTACGTTCCAGAAATCACAATAAGTCATGTATCAATTTACCAAGGTTTCTGTCTAAAATGGAAATAGTACATTAAAACCTGTATCTATGTTATTGGTGTTTGTCAGTAAAACTGTCCTGCTGTTAAATCTTTCGGGAACAAACTCTCACCACTGTCTGCGTCACCTACCCTTCGTCAACACAGAACGGTTTGCCATCCCACTAATGAATGAATGTCATGACTGTCCCAATAAACAACATAACTAACTCTGGTCCTAAAGGAGTTAAAGTTTAACGTTATGTTTCCTTATCCCTATATTTAACAAATATTTATTTGTGAGTGGTGAAAAATAAAATTATATGTAGAAATCCACGTCTTTGTCCTCCAACTGGACGCCTCCATCTTAGCTCCCTCTCAATCATTGCTATAAGAGATGTCCTTCTCACCTGGCCGTCGGCTTAGGGAGCAGACAGAGAAGAGGATGAATTGCAGTGTGTCACCTTACTGTGAATTGTGATGTCATTGCTAAATCTTTAATATTAATTGAAAAGAAAAAAAAAAGTCAGCTTGTAAACTCTACATGGCAAAGCAAAGTCCATAAATTACACTCTCGAAACATTGCAGACAGCAGTCTAATACTGCATGAGTGAGTACTTGCGGGTCTCTAAAGAATTCATACTATTTGTATTAATCAGAATGTCTATAAACAACATACACACAAGGAGAGCAGCTATTGCAGTCATTGTATGAATGTTACCATGACACATATTACAACATAATGGACAGAACCGGAACCACGTGTGTCTTCACCACCTTATAAATCATTCTCGGGTTTATTTTACATGTAAGAACATTGTATGAAACAGGCTAAATCACTTAATCTCAATTAATAATGAAACTAAAGTCCATGGACGCCCTCCAAGAAACAGAGCTGAAAATGTGACCATAATCCAATCATTCGGCATATTAAAACACATTTATTTGTTAAGCTCGAGACAGATCCCATGTGTTTCATGACTTAAGATGCCATGGGTTCTGTAATTTAGGTAATAATCACAACATGGACTAAGAAAATGATCTCATTCTCTCAAAGTGATTTTATAATCTCACAAGAGAAATACTCTCCATTACAGATCCCTCAATTTTAAGGCAGTGATCCCCAAGTCAATGACATAAAACAGGCCCAGACACCTCCTGTATCACTTGTATCAGAATTATGCTTGGGAAAACGAACAGTTTCCGTTACGAGAGCCCTGTGGTTGTCTTACAATGAGAAGGTTAATTAAACAAGAGGTCGGTTTCCTTCGGTGCAGTATTAAATGTGTGTACTTTGGCAAAGCCCAACACTGCATTTTGTAGATCCAGAGGTGTGACATGCTACATTTATGAATGGATTTCCTTCATTAGAAATGATACAAACAAACCGTGCGCCAACAGGCTGTTGTATCAAGCTGATTGAATGCCTGTTTTGACTAGAAGAACTCCAGGTCAGGTGTCCACACTTGTAATCTGTCATTTTCTAGTAATTACCTAAGAAGAATGATAGTTTATTCACAAATGTGATATTTCAAAAAGATAATAGTCTGGTGAAAAATCTGTTTCTGATACAAAAGGTCTACACAGAGTAAGAGAAGAACGCAGATCTTAAGAAATGTCATCCATATAGTGTACACATTGTAGCAGCTTCATAAAGACTGAAAACATCGTCGAAAACAAAGGTTTATAAGAGCTGCTGATTATGGTGTATAAACTAGAAGGGATGCATCGTTTGCTATGTGTCCCTGGGCACATAATTACAATTACAATGATTCAGATGGTGCCAACATATTCTGTAGCACTGTACAATCGATAACCAAGACAAATCGTTAATTCTAAAAAAGCATATTTGACATATGAGAAAAGTAGGTAAATAAGACCCTTCTGAAACGAGCCTTCGATTTAAATGTTTATCGCATAAAGATAGAATTTTTATGAACTACCTGCATGTACAGTCTTGTCATTTCATTGAATTCCCTACTTTGTCTTATGGTAAAGACTAAAATTGACAAAAGGCAGAGTTTCCCCCATCAATGTTTGTCATTTCTCTCAGCCATCACTAGCAACAGCTGTGGAAATCTATCTTCTTACAGATTGAAAAACCTAGTTTTTGTGAGATCCTCTCTAGAAATGAGTGTGCTACTATCATACATGTATACAGCACTGGGGTAGGTATGTATACCGTATGCTGCACCCCGACCAAGGATTTTAACGTTGAGGGTGTTTGCGGAATATGTTTTTTAATTGGGGGGGGCTCCTTGTATGATCTCAATTAAAGTGGGATTATTTACTGCAAATCCCTGTCAAAGCAAGTTTTTCTAAGATTCCACTCACCCTGACCAAGCTGGTCCACCGTGGAGGGGCTGCTAGCTACATTTTAGGTTGTCTCGACACCTTTAGCAGTGCGGCCTGGGAGGCATACCGGATGGGAGCAGTGACCGATCTTCTGGCCATGTGTGTCATGAGCCCCACCAAATCCACTCTGCATCCCGGGGGTGATCCTGGTCTACTCCTGGGAAGCTACCTGACTGTGATGGGCCCAAGAGGTGTTGCTGAGTAAGCAGAAGACTGGCATGGAGACACACATTATGGCAGATGCCACGTGCTCCCGTGACCGCGACTACCAGCAACCTGACATCATGTTCAAGCAGGACCGCATATTTGCCGACTTCTGATGAAAATTGAAGCTCAGAATGTAACAGGCTAATATACCAGAATCACGTGACCTCTTACCTATGATGGCACATCCACGCCACCACCGCAAGCATGTAGCGAGTGGCGGGCGCCACCTTCTGACTGCATCCAAGCCTACACCCTCAACTCTGGGCACAGCTACTGGACTACTCCACAAGCGCCTGATTATGTGACAAGTATCCTGCTATCCACTTCACCCGATATCAGGGTCCCCATGGAGGTCTGTGATACTCACAGGAAAACTAGTGGTGACGTGGCTACTACATCTCCTGCACTTGTCTGTACTGTGGGGCCTGAAGTATCTCTCCACAATGATGGACTGCAAGTCTGGACTCCTGTGCCCGATGCTTGTTTTACAGAACCTACACTCTGTAGCGCCACTAAATGGTATTGACTGACTCATGAATGAGACTCTCACCAGCTGGTGCTAATCCCTCTGAAAAATTTCTCCACAGCCTGACTCTAGTTTTTACCTTCTTTTGTGTTTTCCCCTGTAGACAGCTATCGTTATTTGGGCTTTTTATGCTTGTGACACTTCACAATTTGGTATTCACCAGGGGGCCTCTTGGGTGCTCTAACCCTCACATTCACTGTGTCCTAGTTACCATACTGATCATCTAACCTTATATGATTTTTTGTTTAGACACGTGAACCTCAGCTTGTTTACTAGTATACCATAACAATAATATTTGTGCAATTGCTCTGAATGCCATGTTATAAGCGTGTACTGTATGGTTTTCTTTTGCTTGTCCTGCCGTTGTGGCATTACCAGCATGTATGTATTCATTTGCACAACAAAAATAAAAACATTTTAAAAAACAAACAAGGATTTTGTTTTGATTTATTTTGTACATATTGCACCTTGAATTTTTGAGCAACAATAAAAAGACGAAACCATTTTAGCTTATGCAACGTGTGAAGTGTCTCTGCAGCTTGAAAAGGCTGTGTGTATAAAACCTTGATCAGGACAAGTTACCAAGAGAAGAAGTTGTTACAAACTGCTATTTGTAACTGGCCCTTTAAATGGCAAATTGCCCTGTTTCCCTGGATTGTGGAGAAGCCTGTTTGCCAGCCTCCTTCCGCATGACTATGGCCCCTGGGAGATTGTGAAAACTTATGGACTTTTATTGGGTGTGTATGGCCCTTTAAGACAGCCGGTGGGCATATTGGGGCTTATGGACTCTTTATGGGACTGGTGCTGGCCCTTTAAGCACCTTTTTGGGGCATCGGGAAGATTGGGACACTGCCCCTTTAAGACTGTGTCCCCAGACTTGTTTGGGACACTGCCCCTTTAAGACGGTGTCCCCAGTGTCCCCAGACCTGGTTAAAACCCTTTGTTCCTGGCTATGTCCCACTTGGTTCAGTAAATGGGGGCTTACTGAACCAAGTACCACACTGGCGGACCACCTGTATTGGGAGTGTGTTGGCAATTTACCTCCCAGAAGCTGCGGTTAACCGCAGCTTAATTGGCGAATGCTGGGTAGCCTTTGTTCGTTTGCCGAACACGTCCCATTCGGCGATGGGACTTAGTAGTTTTTTCAGCCTTAAATAGACCGACCGCACAGCCCAAATCTATGGAAATGTTTTGGGCAGGAAAATGTGCTTGCGGTCGGTCATAAAGGGACCCCCAGCTAACTTTTTAACCCCTGGATGGATTTGGCTGATTTTTGGTTATGTTTATATTTGCTGATTCTAAATATGTCATTTTTACGAAGATTGGATGTATGGTTTTAAAGTTACAGGATATGTATAAAAGCTGTATTTTTCCTGCCTATGTTAATTATGTTAAACCATTGTGTGCCATAATTATATCACAGGCAGAGGGGAGGATTTTTGTATGTAATTGCTGGGAGTGTTTCTGTAATATACGTGTATGATTGGTTGTTGTGTAAAACCCTGTGGGTGGTCCTAACTAAGGGAAACCTGCATAAAAGAAGGTTCTTTTGGTGCCAATAAACAGAATGACTTGACCCTCTAACTTGCAGCCTTGACTCATGTTTGTAGGGGACAGCTATAATCACTACAAGGATTGCTATGCTCTGCATACTCCCTTGAGCTTTAATCACTAAGCTCTTTTAAGAGCTTGTTCCGGTTATGCTCTCCTTGGAGGAGAGGTCTTCCCCACACGGTCCTGAATGCTGGAGGTTCATACAGGGTGGAAGGAAGACGGCGAGACTCCAGTTAAGCTACGGCGGTTGTGGAGTCTGCGGTGGTGGTGGTGTCTGCTGCAGTGTTTGGAGTCCTCAGGAAGTACTAGGAGCATCCATTAACGGAAGGCGATCCGTTACATAAGTACTTTAGTCACAGTATCTATATATCTTGCCAGTGTGTGTATATGTACTCATGCTCGTATGTGTTCTTTGTGTTTGTGTGTTGATGTGTTTCTTTGTGTGGTGGTTGTTGTGTGGCTAGTTATGTATGTGAAAGAGTGACTTGTCAATTAAGTTTGCATTTGGCTACTTAGATTTATGTGAATATATAATTCAGTAAGCTGGGTGTCACTATATGTTTTTGGCTAGATAAATATATTTTACTAAACGAGTGTTTGTGTGGATGGTGGGAGTAGTGTGCCAATTAGTCCCATCCATGGCCCTACAAATGATATGTTTGCAAAACAGAATTTGAGAATACTGGAGGATGGAGACTATGTGTGGTAAATGCAGGCAAATTATGTGGAAAAAGAGAATGGAGCAATGGTGGTCTGTTCACTTAAGGCAGGACCCCAGCAGATAAAGAGTGACGCAAGTAACTCTCGCAAGACGCACGGCCTCAGATAGTTGCCACGGGTCGTCACTGTGTGTCAAATAAATATGTGTTCCACAAACTCAAGCCCTGTGTGAATTCTGGAAATGTTTCCTCCAGACCCACCACACTCGTTGTGTCTGTTGAAGCAGGATGCAAGACCATCCGGGGTTTACAGGAACAGGTTACAAAGGAAAGGAGCCGCCCGTGAAATCCTGCAAGTGCAAATTAGCAATAAGGGTGCGAGCGGCTTCTGGGAAGACCAACTAGGAGAGAATTACAGTAATCCATTGAGAGATTACCAGAGCATGAACAAGCTCCATGGCAGCATCTTGAGTAAGAGAGGCGGATGCGGGCGATGTTTTTAAGGTGGAATCGACAGGTTTTAGCAACAGACTGGATATGAGGCACAATGGCGAGGCCAGGATCTAAGATAACACCAAGACAGCGGGCTTGCGAGGACAGGGCAACGCAGGTACTATTAACGATTTGGCACGTGGTTACATTAAAAATTCAATGTTTATTTTTGTTTTGCAATTTAAATATTTTCTATTGTTGCATCTTTTATTTTGTTATTTATTTATTTTAATGTAAAATTATGCAGTGTTTGCTTTCATCCATTTCAGGCAGAGCTGGGCTACAGCCACACTAGTTTAAATAGACCTGATATAAAATATCCTCAGCCAGGTTACAGGTAAACACAATGAATAATTACAGAGTTTGCTTAGTGGAGAGGGTTGTGCTAGTGTAACTAGTTTGACCCTAGAGACGTCCCGTAGTTCTGAACATGCTTTGCTGTCAGCTGTGTTGTGGGAAGCTGTGTGGTCACTGCATGTGATAGCTTTCAGAAAGTCTCATATTCACATCATGGAGCCAGCTATTCGGCTGAAACCAGGTGAGTCTTTCTATGGGGGGCTGCTAACATTCAGGTAAGTCTTTCTATGGGGGCTGCTAACATTCAGGTAAGTCTTTCTATTGCTGATTCAGGTAATGCTGCTAACATTCAGGTAAGTCTTTCTATGGGGGCTGCTAACATTCAGGTAAGTCTTTCTATTGCTGGGGGCTGCTAACATTCAGGTAAGTCTTTCTATTGGGGGGCTGCTAACATTCAGGTAAGTCTTTCTATGGGGGCTGCTAACATTCAGGTAAATCTTTCTATGGGGGCTGCTAACATTCAGGTAAGTCTTTCTATGGGGGGAAGGGGGGGGCTGCTAACATTCAGGTAAGTCTTTCTATTGGGGGGCTGCTAACATTCAGGTAAGTCTTTCTATAGGGGGAGCTGCTGATCTTATAAGTCTTTAAATTCAAGATAATTAGCAGACTCACTCCACTGCCTGGTTATAACTGCATTAATAGCTCTGTAGCTGTATTTGTGGATGAGAGTAGTGAGAGTAGTAGCTCAGTGTTTGGGGGCTTAGAACACTGTATCATGTATTGAATGTTTCATACCCATCTTGGAAAAGTCATGTGAAAGACGTGCAGGATCTGGGAATCACAAGTCTGGTCTGTCGCTGAGCTCATACAATCCTTTAAGACCCCTTCTCTGTGTGCAGCCCCCCATCACTTCAGTAGCAGTGAACCCCATCATTACATATTCCCATTTATTCCTCATCCGATCTTTTACCACCTTTCCCTGGATTCTTGTTTCTCCCTCAGCCTAGACTTTCAGTATCCATTTTCCTCTTCATATTGGCTCCTTTCTCAGTTTGTGCATAGAAATAAAATTACTTGTAGCTGACACCTTGTACTGTGATATGTGCAGATCTATACATACCTTATTGGAGAATGCAGCTCTTCCACTTTATACTGTAATATTACATAAACCCTGAAGGCAACTACGGCAGAGCATTCTATTCCTGTAAATGATACAAAGACGGTTTTTCATTAAAGTCTGAAATTCAAAATGAACTTGCAATTTAAAATACGGCAAAATTCTGGGAAAAAAAATCTCCGAGCTGTGACTATAGCGGAGCTGGGGATTGTTTTCAAAGCATTTACTGTTTTTTCTCTTCAAATTTTATCTAATTCAGTTATTATAGTCCAAATTTTGACATTTAGATTCATATTCACTACACTGTGGTGTTTATTGAATAAGCCCCTTGGTGAGTAACCTTGAGCTGTCTGATAGGAAACAAGCTAACCAGTAATTCCGAACGAATTCTCAAACCCGATTCACTTACCCACTGTGGTTTAGGTGCTGCTGTTCCCTTTTATATCATAAAGTCACGAACAAGTGTTTCACATGGCACAAAACAATGAACATGTCATATCCTTTAAACGAACACTATAGCGTAAGGAATACAAATATGTATTCTTAACGCTATAGAGCCCTAGTTACCTAGTAACCATTTATTTGCTTACCGTAATCCAGTTTCAGGCTTTCTTGGCACTGGTGACCTCTCCTCCTCCATCGATGTCAGCTTGCGAGTAGAGCCGAATGTGCACGTGCGGCTGGACTCTGTGAGGACGTCCAGCGTCAGATAAGTGCTATTTACTCCGTGTAAATTGCATAAGCGCCTCTAGTGGCTGTCAGGGAGACAGCCGCTAGAGGCTGGATTAACCCTAAAGTGTAAACATAGCAGTTTCTCTAAAACTGCTATGTTTTCAGCTGCAGGGTTAAAACTAGGGGGACCTGGCACCCAGAGCACTTCATTGAGCTGAAGTGGTCTGGGCTCCTATAGTAGTCCTTTTACTCCGACTTTTTGGGACCGACTGAACAATGTCTTCTTACTAACACACACACTCCCAGTTCCCATCATCCAGAAGTAGAGAACTTGGCTGTAATATTATTTTATATTAATTTATTCTATTCTCGTTTTGATTCCATTTAAGGGTGTAGCAAATCGGACATTCGTAAGAAGGTTTGGGATTATATTGAGAAGAATGATTTGGCAGACTTTCCAAGACCCGTTCATAACCGGATACCCAACTTCAAGGTATAGTAAGATAATTATATACATCGGTGTATTGTATGTGAATCAGATGACTTGCTAACGGTATCTGAAATGTGGCCTACAGGTGGAGAAGGGAATTTACCTGTTCAATTTCACACAGATTATTAGAATCCAAAATTAGATTTAGGCAGTGATTTTATATATATATATATAATGGGCCTGTATAAAATGTGCATATTAAAAATGAGGATAAGGGAAGTAAATGAAAAGGGGGCACAGAAAATGGGAAAGATTAGAATCCTCTGATCTAATTATTAGAATGTCATAACTGTATATAATGTATTTATGATGGCCCTGAGGCCATTCACCATTAAGTATAAAAAAACTGTGAGACACTGGGAAACTAAAACCGTGTGCATCGCGTTTAATGTTCAAAGACAAAGAATCCTGTAGAAGCCCCTACACAGGTCAGAGTATTCAGATTACAGGATTTCTTAACTGTCCAGCTGAGTTTGTGATATATGAAATATATAATAGCATTCAGTGCTACTCTATAAGCTGATTGCAACGTCTTGCATACAGTATGTCCGTAATACTTCTCTATGAGACAAGTCATCAAGCTGTCAGTAAGGAGTCTCTCCGTTCTGGAACAAGGAAAGTTTGTTTTTTATTTTTATATTTTGTGTTTTTTTTTATCTTTAAAGTAATGGCAGTAAATACTTGAACTCACATAGCAGACTAATAAAAAAAATATATATATATATATATATATATATATTAAATGAACATTCCAAGCACCATAACCACTACAGCATGTTAGAGTGGCTATGGTGTCAGGAGTGCCCGCACATTTAAGCAGTCAAACAGTTTTAGATTAGTTTGACTTATTACTTGGGGTCAGCTGTGCGACACTCCCTGTAGTTGAGTTACGGAGCTGTGCCCAGTGGGCCCCAGGTAAGAAGTCAAAAAGTTCTAAAACAGTATGAATACTTACATATCGCTGGGACACCACGGCATTCTTGGCACCATTACCACTACAGCATTCTGTAGTGGTTATGGTGCTTGGAGTATTCCTTTAAGGTACTGTTAAGCTAACATATGGAAATAAAATTATAGTTGACTTATCTACTTCAGCAGACCTCTATTAGTTTGCCAACATTTCTTTCCTAACACAGGGGGCATCCCATGCTTGTGAAAAGCTGCTGAGCTTGCCAGAATTCCACGATGCCAGGACGGTTAAGATTGACCCTGATAGCCCTCATAAGAATGCCCGCTTCCTCACCCTGGATGTAAGTAATTTGTGTTTACACTATTCTGTCTTCTTGTATCCGAGAAGGTCAAGGAAAACGCAGAATTTTGGAAAGCGTTTGTTTGGCATCGCCTTGATAAATAAATAAGACATTGCCTTGATAAAGGTCCAGGACCTTTGCAACCAACACAGTTATGTGTTTTGTTTGCAACGTTCGCTTTAAGTAGTAGCAAGCTGGTGCTAGCTCAGTGAGTTAACACCCTAACTTTAGAGACTTGTATGTATAACCTGAAATGTTTCAGTCATAAACAACCCACACAGCCTTTCATCTTTCTGAGATCTCTGAAAAGAGTAGCAAGTATGTTGGGTTATAACAGGGGTTTCCAATTAATTTTTTCTGTGGAACCCTTTGACATAGAGTATCAACATCGTGGAATCCACACCCTCCCTCCCACCCCCCTCGAATTTTTTTTTTTAAATTGCACCGTTTTTTGTATGGGCCGGTGTGTGTCAAGGTGCATATATCTGTGCTTGTATGTGCCACTGTGTGCGTGTGTGTGTATATCAGACACACAGATACACACACTGGCACATAGTGGCACACAGATACACACACCTTGACATACAGTGTGTACCAAATACAAGTACCTGACGAAGGGAGCAGAGGCTCCCTTACTGAGAAGACACAAATATCGGCCCTGTAGAGAGCATATGGAATTTAAAAAAATAAGGATCTAGATTCTAGACAAACTAAAGAGAGGAGGAAAAAAAAGTGTATTGGAGTTAGAGCACTATACCTGGTGTCAATAACATGGGAGAATTACATTTCCCTGCGTTGGGAAGCAACTCATAGACTTTGGACAGGTCCAGCGTTAGCCACGTTACAAAATCAATTAAAGTTTAACCTAAAGCTTAGAAGAAAGTAAGACTTTTTCAAAGTCAATAACTATATACAATTACCGGCCCACTGAACATCTACGCCCCCTAAGAACAATAAATAGAGCTATGGATGAGTAGCACAGGACAGCATACCCAAAGTGTCTCGTCCCTCCACCCCCCTGGCCAGCACCAGATTAAGAGCCCAGTGGGCCTGGTGCTGACAAATAAGAGGGGCCTAAGTACAGGTGGAGAAGGGAATTTACCTGTTCAATTTCACACAGACTATTAGAATCCAAAATTAGATTTAGGCAGTGATTTTATATATATATATATAATGGGCCTGTATAAAGGTCTTATCGACCAAAAACACTAAAATAGTCATACCTCTCAAGCGTTATGTATCTGGTGGAGATGTTGCCGGATGGAAACTCATAGGATGCAGCTATAAGAAAACTCAGTTTCTCTTAAAATATGCTAATCTCTCTCTAATTCATGCTTTTCATCTTTCAAGTAAATCCATACCCCCTAACAGCAGTGTAGCAGAAAGTCAACGGGCGGTGTAAAAGGGTGGGCCACTGACGCGGATCATGTAACCAGAACTTCTGAAAGGGACGAACATGTGCAAAAAGGAGGTGTGTCTGCCCAAAGAATTGGAAGGCTAGTCTGACATGAATGCATGTTAAGCTACCCGCCAATCATGCATGCTGGCCAACAGCATCCTGAGCTTGGCATAAATGCGTCTAATGATGCATTCGCTCCATGCTTTTTAAAGACCGTCCCCTAGCACTCACATATCAACTTGTCTCCTTACGTTCTTACTAGTAGGCAGAAGCTCCTAGTATACAGTCTGAGACAGAGAAAAGGTGGATGTATGAGTGTAGATGAAAGAACATGCCACAGTGTTAGAGAGACCAAAGTGAGCATTACCTAACCTAATTTCATTTCAGCTAGTCCACACAAGTTTTGTTTCCATGTATCCCTGTTAAGTTTCCATACTTAAGCAATAGTATGTGAAGAGTAGTTAGGGTTGCCACCTTTCTTGGAAAAAAATACAGGCCTTACTAATTTGCATAACAAATTATGTATGCGTGACTTGATGTTAATCACAAGGAATGACATAAGAGAAAATTCTGTAAAATCACCAAAAACTACTTACAGTTTGATTCTGATGTTTAGATGGATTGCTCCCAGTGTCCCCTATTGTCTGTGTCCCTATGTCTCCCATGGTCCGAACATGTCCCCATGTCACTAGGGGACACTGTGAGACATGGGGACACTGTGAGACATGGGGACACTGGGAGACCTGGGGACACAGACTATGTATTACAGTGTCCCTATGTATTACAGTGTCTCAGTGACCTGTGTTTTCCAGTGTCCCCATGTTGCCCAGTGTCTGTGTTACCATGTCTCCCATTGTCCCCATGTCACTAGGGAACACAAGGACATGGGGGCACTGGGAGACATGGGGACACTAGGGACACTGGGAGACAAGGGGACTCAGACATCAGGGACACTGGCTGGGAGACATGGGGACACAGACACCAGGGACACTGGCTGGGAGACATGGGGACACAGACACCAGGGACACTGGCTGGGAGACATGGGGACACAGACACCAGGGACACTGGCTGGGAGACATGGGGACACAGATACTAGGGACACTGGCTGGGAGACATGGGGACACTGAGACATCAGGGACACTGGCCGGGAGACATGGGGACACTGAGACACCAGGGACATTGGCTGGGATTCATGGGGACACTGAGACACCAGGGACACTGGCTGGGAGACATGGGGACACTGAGACACTTAAGGACATTGTGTCCCTAGTGTCTCAGTGTCCTCATGTGTCCCCAAGTGTCTGTGTCCCCATATGTGTCTGTTTCCCCATGTCTCAGTGTCCTCAAGTGTCACCATGTGTGTCTGTGTCCCTAAGTGTCTGTGTCCCCATGTCTCCCAGCGTCCACTAGTGTCTCAGTGTTACCGTGTCTCAGTGTCCCCATGTGTTCCCATGTGTGTCTGTGTCACTATGTCTGTGTCCCCATGTGTGTCTGTCCCTGTGTCTCCAAGTGTCCCCAAGTGCCTTAGCATCCCCAGAGGTCTCCCTGTCTCCCTATTGTCTCAGTGTCCCCATGTCTCCCTGCAGCCTTTACCCTATCCCTCACTTCCCTGAGCCGTAGGCTGTCTCTGCAGGCTGGGAGCTGCTGTCTGGACTCTCTGTGCTGTGAAGCTGCTCCCCCGCGGATCAGTAGAGAGATGCAGGTATATGCTTTAACTTCCTATCCCTACCTCTCTCCACATACACACACACACACACACAGCGACCCCTACTGGCCGGTGCTGGTATTGCAGAGTAATCTGTTTTTTTTTACTGAGAAAAATACCGGCATTTGTATTGCCGATATTGCTGTTATATCGGTACCGGCCAGGCAGCCAAAAAAAAATTACTTTTTTTTTTTTTTTTTTTTTTAAAGCAATGGGCCTATTCCATGGGCTTGGGCCTGGGGCTGCAGCTCCATCAGCCCCTATGTTAATCCGGCCCTGCCCCTGGCCGAGAACCATACCGTGTACTCCAATGGAAGGAGGCATCCAGAGTAGAAATATACCATTTCCACGTGAGAGATTTCTTTTAAAAACTGAAGGGTCCACTCCAGCACTGAGTGTCCATTTAAATTCTTAGCAACAATTCATACTCATGTGGTTGTTTCAGAAGCTGTTAGGCCAATGGGTATTTGGTAATAAAGTAAAACCATGTATTTTTTTTATTTATTATTCTTTATTTTAAAGAAAGAGCAAAACAGCATAAAATGCTCACGGTTTAGTACAAATATCATTATAAAAGTTAGGGAGAAAGGGGGAAAACAATAAACAGAGAGGGGATGGGAGGAGGAAGCTCTTTGTCCACAAAGTTGCTGTATATTTACTGTTACATAGTTACATCGTTACATAGCTGAAAAGAGACTTGCGTCCATCAAGTTCACACTACCTCACATTTGTTTTTTGCTGTTGATCCAAAAGAAGGCAAAAAACCCCAGTTTGAAGCACAATTTTGCAACAAGCTAGGAAAAAATTCCTTCTTGACCCCAGAATGGCAGTCAGATTTATCCTTGGATCAAGCAGTTATTACCCTACATTGAAAGATTATATCCTTGAATATTCTGTTCTTGCAAGTATGCATCTAGTAGCCATTTGAACATCTGTATGGACTCTGATAAAACCACTTCTTCAGGCAGAGAATTCCACATCCTGATTGTTCTTACAGTAAAAAAACCTTTCCTTTGCCTTAGACGAAATCTTCTTTCTTCCAGTCTAAACGCATGGCCTCGTGTCCTATGTAAAGTCCGGTTTGTGAATAGATTTCCACACAATGGTTTGTATTGGCCCCGAATATATTTGTATAATGTTATCATATCCCCTCTCAGGCGACGTTTTTCTAAACTAAATAGGTTTAAATTTGTTAACCTTTCTTCATAGCCAATATGTTTCATTCCTTTTATTAATTTTGTAGCCCGCCTCTGCACTTGTCTAGTGCCATAATATCCTTCTTTAAAACAGGTGCCCAAAATTGCACAGCATATTCAATATGGGGTCTTACCAGTGATTTATAAAGAGGCAAAATGATATTCTTGTCCCGAGAATGAATGCCCTTTTTCATGCATGACAATACCTTACTGGCCTTGGCCACTGCTGATTGACATTGCACATTGTTGCATAGTTTGTCTATAACAATTGTTGCATAGTTTCTTGTCTATAACAAGTGTTTCTGGATGAAGAGATGTGATTCCGTAACTAGTTTTAGCAGAAGTAATGAAACGGGTATAAATACTGGCATCCCTTTAGTGGACCCTGATTTTATTCACTATAAACGAGGATATGTGGAGCCACGGCAGCTGTAAACCTTGACGGCATCAAGTGTGCTGATAAAATGAATAACAGTAAAATATTGAGCAGGATTACTACTGGAAATGTTATATTTTATTTAACCTCATATCTTTCCTATCCACAGGCTCATAAAATACTGCTTGTGCCAACTCCACGGCTTCGAAAAGGACTGTTTAACAGGATCACCCCACCAGCTAGGGCTGGCAAAGAAATGCTGAAAATGTGCTCTACTCCACAGGTCGGGTGCACAGCACATACTATGGTGTAAATAGTGAAATCTGCAACCACTGGATGGTGTTAGAAAAGAGCGAAGGCAGTCTTAAACCATATTTCTAAAAACAAAAACCTTCTTTTTATTAAGTTGATAATAAAAATAGGACAAGACAAATCAAATCATCGGCATTCTGAAATGAAAAAAATCTCAAGCAGAAAATGAGAGAAAAAAAAACAGGAAACAAATCTATAAAATATTAGTTAGATCTATGTAATACTGAAAAAATAAATACCACCGTACAAAAGGAAAACATAATAAGTGTTGAGTTTTCCTAGCCCAGTTCCAACTCCGTTATAATAAACCAGGCATTATTACTAATTTGTCTCAAAAGGGACAACAAACGATTAATTCCAAAATCTTCAAAACTTAACTAATTTCTTATTTCAGCCAATAATAATGTTTTTTTTCCTGTAAATGTTACTTTCCCTTTCTATTCCCCCCCCCCCTTCTCTTCCACTTATCTTTCACTTTACTTGTTTGTTCCATTTATACAAAATTTGTACAGTATTAGACAATCTCAACATTATTGCCTTTACAAGAATAGAAGAGACAAGAGAGAAAGTCTATTCAAAATCTTGAACTGTTTTTGCATTAGATTTAAATGGTTAATTGCTTTCAAGACTGTTGTCTAAGAATGTATCCATTCTACTGTTGAAAGTTTTCTATTCAAGTCTCTTTCCCATTTTTTAAAAGCCGGGAAAGTTTGAAGTGAATCAGTTTCTTGGTAAGTTAGTAATTGTTTTTAAAAGGTTGTTCAAATCATTGCCCGTTAGAAGTCTTTCTAAATTAACTAACTTCTAAAATCTCTTTAGGAAAGGAAGTATTTAGGAAACTTTTGATTCTTATATAGTTAAAATATTCAATACGAGCTGATCAATATATGACACAAATTGAGTCAAATGACTTAGTCCTAGGGCCCAGCATAATGATGAGGTAAAAAAAATGAGAATATCAATAGATCTATTTGAAGCCTTGCAACGGTCTTATTTATAATTGTTGTAAAATCAGTACAACCCTCTAAGTTTAAATGACTAATTCTTGTTATTAATGGGAGTTGCAGTCCACGTTTCTTTTCCCCTTTACCAGACCACTGCATCTCTCTTAATTGACTGAAGCTTGGAAAATACTCCACCTCATTTATTCTTGCATTGCTACCATATTATCATGTGTTACTATAGAATTGTTACCATTTATACCTGTAGTTTGCCACTGTAATTGTCAGTTTGTATTATTGTCATTTAATGTTTCTGACCAATATTTCATGTAGACAGTTATTAATATTTTGGGTGATAGAATTTGGTTGCTAAACTTTTCAATAGTATAGAACACATGGCTACTCAGCCTACCCCTCCTCCCTCTTTCCTATTCTCCTCCCAGCTGTAAATACCTTCATATAACTGTTCCATCTCTGTCCTTCAGGCCTCATCTCACACTCATACTCAGTGGAGCTCTCCACGATATTACAGCAACTCCACTTTGTGCCCTCCATTCCTGTTAAAGGGTTACTCCAAGCACCTTGACCACCTCAGTGATTTGAAGTGGTTATGGTGCCTGTATATTGTATGCGCACCTTTTCATAGTGACATGCTACACATATAGCCTTTTGCTGCCAGAGGTGTAACTCTACAAGTGTTCTTGGCTGGCTAATGTCAATTCTGTGCGTCGTAGATGTCTATTGTTAGCATGCTTGTTACAGACAACCAATGGCTGCAATGCCCTCAGCCCATTCTCCCTGACATTCCTCTTCCTGTAGCGAGGGGTGGTCATTGGTAGAGGATCCGGTTGCTGGGAATACTGTCTGCTGCCATCTACTGGCTAAACACTGCATTACAGCTTCTTGATTTGAATTTCACGCTTTACTTGATTTTCTTGTAGTATTTAAAGAACATTAAGTCTATTTGCAGGGAGTGAAAGAGCACAGTGTCCCTGTGAGTTTGGATGACAGAATATCCGTGGACCTGGTGGTCGTGGGCTCTGTGGCTGTGTCTGAAAAAGGTAAAACATTTGTCTAAATGGGTGACAAATTCATCATACTAATAGTACAAACTGTGAGAACCACTGCAGCCTGAATGCATGTTTTTACATTGCCCCTCACTGGAGAAGTCCAGAGCATCAAAACATGGAGCACACCGCTGTCAGTGCAGGGAGCGCACCGCTGTCAGTGCAGGGAGCGCACCGCTGTCAGTGCAGGGAGCGCACCGCTGTCAATGCCCGTTTCTCACTTGAGGTTCTGTTATTCAGGTTGGAGAATTGGAAAAGGAGAAGGATTTGCTGACTTGGAGCACGCCATGATGGTGGCGATGGAAGCGGTTACAGAAGACACTGTTGTGGTCACTATAGTTCACGATTGTCAAGTAAGTTTCAACTTCCTCCTCCTGTTATTACAGTTACTATGTTATTACATAATAGCAGTCTCTGGAATGCACCCCCTAACCCTGCATATTCATATATTAAACGTATGTTAATTAATGAGGGATATTTTATTATCTAAAGGACCATTTTGTAATATGGGGCATTCTGAAGGGTGAAATCAACATAATTTAGCAGTGCCCAACTTAAATAAAGCTTAATTAGCTGCAATTCAAAATAACACAAATCAGAATCCCTGAGCTGTTCCTGAGGCATTCTCCCCCTTTGCCAAGCTACCGGCGTTTAAATACCATAAAACAAAATGTGACTAAGGGACAGGGCCAACAGCCATGCTGATCAGTCACACTCTGACTGAGCTCTGTGGAATAGCTATATTTTCCCTTTTTAAAAAGCTTTCTACCTGTGATTTCGGGCACACAAGCTACTGGGAATACCACTTCCGCCTGCAAGCTCATTGATGTCATCTCCCCCTGCCAGTGACGATTATCCCGGCACCATACTCTTGAGTCTTCCCAATTACCGCTGGTACCACTGAGACCGTGTCAAAGTCTGAACAATACTATATCTAGTGTACAAGCCTTATTAAGATGGCGAACACTCCTCTGCAACTTGTGGCCTGCCTTATACTAGCACTGGCTTGGACAAACTGTTAGCGGCTTTCTGGAGGAACATAGGCAGACAACAGCAAGATGACTAAGAAGGGATCACACCCTACCCTTGAGTTAACGGCAAAATATCCAACAAAGATTGGATGGCCTTCCTCAGATGGAGGCCAGGGCTCTGGTGTTTACTCGCCTTAAGAGAATTTGGAAGAATTTCTGTTCTCGGTTTTGGTACCAGCTCTCCAAAAGGGATAATGTACAATGCCACAAACCAAGGCTGAGAGCCCTCAAGGGGACCTCTGGTGACTGATCAAAACCCTTGGAGGGTCTACAGTCGACACTGTCAAGCGACAGCTTCACTCTGAATTTCGATTGGGGTGCCAAAGGTAGCCTTATCAGTGGACATTGCATACAGGTTCTCGCTGGGGCACGAAGCTGGCGGAGTACTATGGCTAATGCGAACTGTGTTTCTTTTTGGGAACAGTCTTCGAACTGTGGAGTGAGTTGATCTTAGTCAATGGAGGGCTATGAGAAGAGCAACACACTGTCTCCCAATTTCTTATTTTTTAGACTTATGATCGATTTAAGGTTTTAAAGAATAGTGCTCACTTGCCTTTGTGTGCCTCTCCGCAGTCAGGGGGTTAAACTTCTAATTACCAACGGTAACAACCTTTTCAAGCTCGTTAATTATTTTTCTCAATCAGTGCATTCTGAATCTTAAGTGTGAGTTTTTATGCACTATTAATGTTGCCTATCCTAAAAATGGCATGTTTATTTTATGTTTTATTGTGTTACATACCATAATCTACAAACATGTATTCCTGACCCTATAGTGTTAACACCACCATCTAGCCCTCCTGGGCCTGTCATGCCTCCATAAATATAGTAAAAATCTTACTGTATTCAAACCTGAAGCTGTAAATCTGCATGCTGTTAGACTCAGAAAAAAAAGCAGTCTGCTGACCTGTGGTAGCCTGATCCAATTACAGTGCTTCCCCATAGGATTGGCTGAGACTGACAAGGATGCAGATCAGGGGCAGAGCCAGCATGATTCAAACACAGCCCTGGCCAATCAGCATCTCCTCATAGAGATTAATTGAATCAATGAATCTCTATGAGGAAAGTTCAGTGTCTGCATGCAGAGGGAGGAGATACTGAATCACAGGATTCTGTGCACAGTGCTGCCCTGTGCTCTGCTGACAGCAGATCTGAGTGGATGGAGGCATATTATGCCTCCATCAACTCTGAAGTCCATCTGGTTCACTCTGAGTGACTGCAACTGAAGGTGTTACAATGTTTATATTGAAAGCTAGTATCTTCTCAGAAAATACAGTGTTTACATGAGAGAGGCTGCAGGGAGCTATAGTTCTCACCTGAACAACTTCATTAAGCTGAAGTTGTTGTTCAGGTGACTATAGTGTCCTTTTAATCTGTAAACGTATATATTCTACCTCTGCGTAGGTTCCCTAATGTGTTACCAACTCGTGTCGATAATCTCTGTGATGTATTCCTCCACGTCGAAAATAAAAATTTGACTCACAAACATTTCATTAAAAACAAAGTTGTGATCCTCACCAACCCTGAAATAACAGGAAGCTAGGCCCAACCCAGTTATCTTAAAGCAAGGAATGGGACTCGAGGCAGGATGCTACCATCCCACTTGATTAAAATAAATAACCCCCTGCACATCCACTTAATCTCTCAGCTTCGTACATGGCATGATTTAAGTTTACAGCAAAAAGCTAACGAAACCTATATTTCTGAACATGCTATTCAGTTTTTCAAAATTTCAGAATTTCTAAGCTTTGAACTCAATTGAAACCTTTTTTTCCTACTTACCAAATAGTTCTGGTTGTAACATACAGATTCAGAAATTAATCTCTGTGTGATCAAAGCGCTTTCAGTCTGTCCGATTATTTCCCCATTTTGCAATTTGGATGCACAGTTTTAGCTAACTATGGAAATAAAACATGTATAGGTCTATGTGAAATGCCTGGTTTATTTAGTCATAGTTTTGCTTATTCCTCACCGAGATCATTGGAGTTACTGAAGGATTATATTTTATGTTCTCAAACTAGACATGTCTGCCTTATTGTGTTAAAGGTGCTTGATTTTCCCGAGGATCTCCTGGGAGACCACGACCTCACTGTGGACTATATATTGACACCAACTCGAGTTATTAAAACAGACTGCAAGCGTCCAAAGCCGGAAGGAATCATATGGTCTAAGGTGAGATTACTATAGAAGTACCTCATTCGTTCCTTATTAATTGCTGCCTCACTGTCCTTACTCAAATATCTCTATATTTGCACCTTGCAGGCATTCCGTTTATGCCTGCTGTAGTGGTTATGGTGTAAGGAGTGTCCTGGCACCCTCTCGTGAACATATTTCGAACTGTTTTTAGAACAGTTCAATTGCCTACATGGGCCTTTCACGCCTCTGACTTGGTTTGGGGTTTAAACCATGGATCTGATGACTTTCCTGGGTAAATCAATCTAAGTTTCCACCTATGATTATTTTAGAACGATGCCTTTCCATTGATATGTATATATTGGATTGCTAACTGCACAGTGGTTAAACTCTTGTTTTATCGTGCAGGTCACCTGGGAGATGATGAAGAAAATTCCAATCTTAAAGAAACTTCAAGCCATTGAAAAAGAGGCCGGTAAAAACGTCTTCATAAAGAAAGATCATGATCAGGAATTACACACCAGATTGGAAGCCTGTGACTTGGGCGACGTGCATACGTTATATATAGGGAATATTCCCCCAACGACGACAATCAACGAGTTTAAGGATATCTTACAGGAGAAAGGGGCTCCACCTTTACGACTCAAGTGGCAGATAGATCATCAGAGAGCATTCCTTGATTACATGGATGTGGCCCAGGCTAGGCAGGCATTGTCTAGCTTGCAAGGGTTAACAATACGTGGTAATTCTCTATGGGTGAATTTGGCCAGAGCTAAAGTGTCAAACTCCAAAACTCAGTAATTAAGGGAAATTTAAATTAAAACAAATATATATATCTCAAATCTCTAATATATCAACACATATCACCCAACATAAAATACTTTGGTATTTTGAGAGGAGTTGTGAAGTTTATATACGAAATGTGAATTTGTGCAAATGAAGGGTTTGACTTTAATTTGTTTTACATTTTCTTCGGTCCAGAAATCTCCTTTTTATGCAGAATAATGATTATTTGTTCATTACACGTTTTAAATGCTTAACGTCGAGGTGCATTATCTTTGTTCTTATATTTGCTCTGATGTCTATGATATACACCTCTATCCTTGGTTTATGGGTATGTATCACCAGGGGAAAATACATAGTAGCACAATACAAATTACCCCTTGGTTGCATATATAAAGATATGAATGTGGTAACGGAACAGTTGACTTCCATCAAACTTACAGACTTTGACAATTAGAAAACAGTAATGTATAACCGCTTTAAAAGACCACTATAGACACCCAGACCACTTCAGCTTAATGAAGTGGTCTGGGTGCCAGGTCCAGCTAGGGTTAACCTTTTTTTTTATTTTATTTTTTATAAACATAGCAGTTTCAGAGAAACTGCTATGTTTATATTAGGGTTAATCCAGCCTCTAGTGGCTGTCTCATTGACAGCCGCTAGAGGCGTTTGCGTGCTTCTCACTGTGAAAATCACAGTGAGAAGACGCAAGCGTCCATAGGAAAGCATTATGAATGCTTACCTATGAGACTGGCTGAATGCGCGCGCACAGCTCCTGCTGCGCATGCGCAGTTACCCGAGGAGGAGGAGTAAGTTTAACCGCTTCCTCTCCCCAGAGCCCGGTGGGAGGAGGTCCCTGAGGGTGGGTCCCACGAGTATGTTTCCCTGGCACTATAGTGGTCCTTTAATAATCTAAAAATGATCAGTGCCAAACAGAGACTTCAAAAGGATATTCACAATCTATTTGACGACACAATGACGCTCTCAAGGATGAATTTTGTACCATGACAGGCAGTGGAACGGGTTCCGGGATCCCATAGTATTTTTACCACTATGAATGCAAACATTCACAAACTACATTGTACCTATTACACTCTTACACAACAATTTGATGTGTTTGAAGATCAAACCCAAATCAATGCAGATCAATTTCTGTCCTCCATCCTGCCTCACAGTATTTACTTAAAGGTTATTCACTTAAAGGTTTCTTCCACCTTTCTTGCCCTCTGCAGACTTCTGTAAGAACTCCCAGAGATGTTATCAGGTCAATTAGTGATAGAAATGGTGTTATTTGACAGAGAGAGGTAAAACACCTATGGTCCTTGAAACAAATCAATGTATCTTTTACAAAGATTTGATTCACTGAAAAGTACAATGTAGGCAATCTCTCAATCCAGTCATTAACTAGCTCAGGGATTTATGAATCACCTACTGGGAGATCCTTAGACCAATGATGATGGGGGGGGAGGGGGAGGTAAATATCATCCTAGCAGACATCTGCTATGGATGGTGCATCTTTCCTGACCTCCTTGGGGCTGTGCTACCATTGCAGAGTGTTGTAGCGGTTATGGTTCCAAGAGTGCCCCTGTACTCCTCTAACAGGGAAACCGCAATCTGCCTCCTTTCATCTTGACGAGGGAGCTGGAAGCTCCTAGTAGGAGTTTCCTCTAGTTCTCCTGAGCTAAGCCGTGCAGGGCCAGCTCATTACTCCAGTCTGTTTTCCATGTAATGTAGCCAGGAATTCGAGATAATGTAAGACATAGATTGTAAACTAATTTGATCAGGACCTTTTTTACCTCTTGTCACTGATATATTCTGTCTTGTTGTCAAGTATCCCTATTTTATCATTGTAAACCTCTGCGGAATACACTGCTCAAAAAAATAAAGGGAACACAAACAACACTCCAAGTCAATCACACGTCTGTGAAATCAAACTGTCCACTTAGGAAGCAACACTGAGTGACAATCAATTTCACATGCTGTTGTGCAAATGGGATAGACAACAGGTGGAAATTATAGGCAATTAGCAAGACACCCCCAATAAAGGAGTGGTTCTGCAGGTGGTGACCACATACCACTTCTCAGTTCCTATGCTTCCTGGCTGATGTTTTGGTCACTTTTGAATGCTGACGGTGCTTTCACTCTAGTGGTAGCATGAGATGGAGTCTACAACCCACACAAGTGGCTCAGGTAGTGCAGCTCATCCAGGATGGCACATCAATGCGAGCTGTGGCAAGAAGGTTTGCTGTGTCTGTCAGTGTAGTGTCCAGAGCATGCGCTACCAGAAGACAGGCCAGTACATCAGGAGACGTGGAGGAGGCCGTAGGAGGGCAACAACCCAGCAGCAGGACCGCTACCTCCGCCTTTGTGCAAGGAGGAACAGGAGGAGCACTGCCAGAGCCCTGCAAAATGACCTCCAGCAGGCCACAAATGTGCATGTGTCTGCTCAAATGGTCAGAAACAGACTCCATGAGGGCCCGACGTCCACAGGTGGGGGTTGTGCTTACAGCCCAACACCGTGCAGGACATTTGGCATTTGCCAGAGAACACCAAGATTGGCAAATTCGCCACTGGCGCCCTGTGCTCTTCACAGATGAAAGCAGGTTCACACTGAGCACGTGTGAAAGACGTGACAGAGTCTGGAGACACTGTAAAGAACGTTCTGCTGCCTGCAACATCCTCCAGCATGACCGGTTTGGCAGTGGGTCAGTAATGGTGTGGGGTGGCATTTCTTTGGGGGCCGCACAGCCCTCCATGTGTTCACCAGAGGTAGCCTGACTGCCATTAGGTACAGAGATGAGATCCTCAGACCCCTTGTGAGACCATATGCTGGTGCGGTTGGCCCTGGGTTGCTCCTAATGCAAGACAATGCTATACCTCATGTGGCTGGAGTGTGTCAGCAGTTCCTGCAAGACAAAGGCATTGATGCTATGGACTGGTCCGCCCGTTCCCCAGACCTGAATCCAATTGAGCACATCTGGGACATCATGTCTCGCTCCATCCACCAACGTCACGTTGCACCACAGACTGTCCAGGAGTTGGCAGATGCTTTAGTCCAGGTCTGGGAGTAGATCCTCAGGAGACCATCCGCCACCTCATCAGGAGCAAGCACAGGCGTTGTAGGGAGGTCATACAGGCACATGGAGGCCACACACACTACTGAGCCTCATTTTGACTTGTTTTAAGGACATTACATCAAAGTTGGATCAGCCTGTAGTGTGACTCCAAATCCAGACCTCCATGGGTTGAAAAATTTGATTTCCATTTTTTAATTTGTGTGTGATTTTGTTGTCAGCACATTCAACAATGTAAAGAACAAAGTATTTCAGAAGAATATTTAATTTATTCAGATCTAGCATGTGTTATTTTTGTGTTCCCTTTATTTTTTTGAGCAGTGTATGTTGGTGCTATATTGATACTACTACTACTACTACTAATAATAATAATAAGTCTCTGTTGTCTGTTTGTCTATATTAAGAGCTTTGCACTTTTCAGGAAATCACGCAATACATGCAATAGCCACTAGATGTCATTTCAGTCTCTGCATACACAGTGTTTTTATGCTGTTTCAATGCTGGCATCATGCAGGATCCTCGATAGACTTCAATGCTGCACGAGAGTGCAGCAGTGATGTCCGGTCCTGGTGCTGAAGAGGACCTGCTGATGAAAGATAGCGGTGCCCATGAGAGACCATTTCAGCTGAGCAGAACTCACATTTACCTGCTGCTGACCACTAGACCCCCAGGGGGGATGTCACCGTCGGGGGTCTTTGATAATTCGGCAAAGTCCCCAGACTGTGACTGTGCCGCTTTAATAATTGGTTTCTAAGTTTAATGCACTTGTATAACAGGTTCCTCACCAATCAGGACCCTCTTATTCTGTGCAGCTATTCTTACCATAAACTTACAGCTGCTTATAGCTGAATAAATTGAAACAACTCACTGACGTTAAAAGCTACTTTAATCAGTGAGAGTGATTGCAGTGCTCACTCTATAAAGTTATGCTGATTAGACTGATCCTTTAAAGAAACACTTAAAACACCATAACCGCTGCAGCACACTGTAGTGTCAAAGGTGCCATAGGTGCCTGGCACTCCCAATCTAAGTAGTCAACCCGTTATATAACTTACCTGGGGCTTGCAGTGTTTAGCTCAATGGCTGGGAATGATCAGCTGACAATGAGCAGGTCCTTACTGCAGGAATTGGCTAATAGAAACTCCTAAGCTTTCCTGGTACCTGAGAGGAGGCATGTAGGGTTATCAGAAGACATTATGCTGCCTGGGTCCAAGGATGAAATACTGCCCCACCTCCCACCATATTCTACGCCCACATACATTATTATGCAGTTTAAGTAGTGGATGCAGTATGTGGTTGTCTAGTGCATGTAGTGTAAGCGGTAGATCGTGTGCATAAGGGATGTAGAGTCCATAGAGGATCTAATGTGTAGAGGTGCATTGTGTGTTAGGGATGTAATATGTGTGTGAGAGGGTATTGTGTATGGGGGAGGCAGATGGGAGTAAAGCTAGTTTATATTTTTTTTAGACATATGCCATTCATTTTGTTCCGAATGTAAATTAGTCCGGATTTCGGCAATTTGGACATTTGGATGCTTGCGAATGTCCGAACTGCGAAGTCCTGAATTTCGTAAGTACTGAACCGAATTGCCGAAGTGCCGAATTTTGGAAGTGCCGAAGTGCTTCGGATTTCTGTAAAGTGGCAAAACAAGAGAGGGAGGGAAAATTATGTGAATGATGACAGGAATCTGGACCAATAAGCTAATTCCTGACACTGGGAGCCCTATAGATGTGTAAGTGGTTGTGGTGGCAGTCCGGGCACCTAACCCTACCCTACCCTAGCCCTACCATAACCCTACCGCAACCCTACCTCCAACCCTATCCACCACTACCACTTACACATCTAGGGGTAGAGTTAGGGAGCCCTACAGATGTCTAAGTGGTTGTAGTGACAAGAGAGGGATGCTTACCAATGTCCGAATTGCCTAAGTCCTGAAGTGCGGAT